GTAGAAATAGAACACAGATATGAAATCAATTTTTTAATGCTTCTTATGAAATACTTTATATTTTTGTGTAAATTAAAAAATAAAACTGTAACTATTTCTGAATGCAAGAAATATATTTCTCAATATAAAAAATAGAGGACATTGGGTTATATAGATACAGCCTTAGAAAACAAGAAATTATTCAAAACAAATGGATCTTTATTAATCAGTTAATAAATTAGTGAATTATCGTATTCCAACGTATTGTTAACACAGTGTCAACAAGTATGTACTTTTTTGTTTTCATATGCACTGTAATATTTTATATCATATGCATTAATTTTAGATACAAGTACAATGTATGACGTGTAGTTATGCATGTGATGTGATTGATGTATGTGACTATTGATAAAAACCTGAATAAAAAAAAAAAAAAAAATAAAGAGTTTGCCTGTTGGTTCCGTTATTGTATATTTCATTATAGAAAATTACATTACTTACTTGGATTGACCAAGGTTTACATGACGGGTATTGTCGATGAACCAGAACACGCTTACTCTTCCTGAGCACCTGGTCTTATTCTTCTTGTGCTTTTTCAGGAGTCTCCGTGTATATCTTTCTTTTGTTCATATTTTTCGCGCTGGTTTTATGGAATATGAGTTTGAATTATGATCATGTTGTCATGTTGATATTTTCTTGATTTTTTGTGTGTGTGTCTTTTGTACAGTTTCAGTTGGTGAAACTTTCTATGAGACCATCTAATGTGATTTCTGACATTTCGTTCCATCAGGTTTTATTTTTCTCATTCGCTTTAGGAAGGGTGGAACAGGGTATGATGTAGTTTAATTCATGATGCAGTATCTATTTCTAAATTTGTATTTAAGTGTTATACACTCCTGTATTTAAGTTTAGGCTTTGTGATACGTCAATTATACCTAAATGTTTGTTTTACACTTTCCTTTACACTTTCGATAGATTTAATTTTGATAAGTTGTATTGAGATATGCATTCAAAATGACGCAGCTTTGAAGACAAGCGCATGCAACGTAATGCTTGACGGCATATATGTGTTTAATATTCATGAAAAATATATCATTCATACTGGTCTTTAAATCCATTTTAAGACATCCTATTACTTAGTTAAGTAAACAGGTGCATGTAACAATGTTTCTGGGGGATTTGTAACTTGCATGGTTTACATTAAATATGATAGGGGATCAACAAAACACCTGAAACTCGCCGGTATTCGATGAAGCACTGTTACTTTTTTTTTACATCTTTGGTACCAAAATGATCACCAATATATATACATATAAACTCGGAATTGTATGCCAAGGGTCCACTTGTGAAATAATTTCAGAAAAAGATGGTGGCTAATTTCTGCCATTATTTTGTTTCGTTTTGTCAATACGATAGTTTTCGTTTTCTCTCTGGCGTTAAATATCCTCTTTTCGCCACGACATGACGATAATGACGATAATCATCGTAATGTCTTCCCATTAATTATTGTCTTTTCGCCGCAATACAACAATAATCATTGTTATGATACAACTCTAACTATTGCCTTTTCGCTGCGGACATATCGTTTTGTCAGCCGATAATTGTCTTCTTCTCGCCCCGCTGTTTATCGTCTATTCGCCGAGACGTAAAGAAGATTATCGTTATGGCACGGTGAAATGACGATAATTAGCGGAGCAACATAACGATAATTTAGCTATAACAATAAATTAGTTATTTTAATATCAACTATAACTTAATACAACTAAGAAAGACCTTTTATACCCCAAGCGAAACGTCGATATAAATTAATTTGACATGCTAAATCATATAGAAGCTGTAGTCTGTATAAGCATCTGGAGTTTTAATGTTTAAACTTTCATCACTTATACCGTCAACAAGGCCAGCTCTGCTATTTACCATATCAGTCAGCTGACAATACTATTACTTATTACTAATATTGATCAAATAAGTCATGTAGAAATAGTTTGTTACACTTTCGTTACTCGCTGATTTATCACGAATAAATTTTTCTCGATAACCATCGGAATACGAAGTGTAAATTAGAAAGAATGCTCAGGCCAGGAGCGGAACGAAATATCATATTTATGCAGACAGAAAATATAAGGTTGTAGTTAAAATTCATGACATTGTGCACCATGTGTCATTAAAAATTTTAATATAGAAAATGTTGTTTGACAGGCTTTTTTTAAAAAAGAATTAATGTATTTGTCGTTTTCGTTAAACATACTTTGTCTACTAAAGTCTGTTTTGGTGTTTGTGTAATTGTTATTCAATGACCATAATGAAAGCTTTTAAAAGAGTGTTTTTTCTATAAAGGAAGTGTTGTTGTACTTCCAATTTGTGATACAGTATTGTCACAACGTGTGTTTGTACTTCTAAGGTGTGATAAAGTAATGTCACAACGTGTGTTTGTACTTCCAAGGTGTGATAAAGTATTATCGTAACGTGTATTTGTACTTCCAAGGTGGGATAAAGTAATGTCACAACGTGTGTTTGTACTTCCAAGGTGTGATAAAGTAATGTCACAACGTGTGTTTGTACTTCCAAGGTGTGATAAAGCATTGCCACATCGTGTGTTTGTACTTCAAAACTGTGATAAACAGATAACGTGTGTTTGTACCACAAATAAGTCCTTTTGTTTCGCAGTGACGATTTTTATACTACCATGTGCATGCTAACACATAAACACAACGCTTAAATATTCCCTGGTCGTGATAAAATTCATAGATTTTTGTCTGAAAAGTCTCTCTTGTCTGTTTGAAAATTAGAAATGGGACACTATGATAAAAATGTATACCCTAGTACACTGGTCTGTTTTTTTTAAAAAGGATATGCAGCAACAATGTCATTGTACAAACAGGCTTCGGGATACATTTGTTGTTTCTGACAAGTTTGCCTTTGCAAAAACGCTTGTACTATTAATAGCTCAAAACCGGTTCTGCAAGTACCAAAACCCGTTTATAACAATCAGCGTAAAACGCCACTCCTCTTAAAATACACAGTAATGTGTAAATTGTGATTGTAATCATGTAAATTCGCAGACACAGTGATCTGTCCATAGAAATGTAAAAATAGTTTGTGTTAGAATGACATATTAGATCCGTATAATCTCCTAAACATGGAAACATGGAAATAATGTATAAAAATATGAGTTTCTAAAAATAAAAAATAAAAAATTAAATCTCATTACATCATCCTAATACAAATAAGGGTTGAAGTTCACGGCTTGGCTTATAAAAAATTCTTAGTCAGGGAATGGGTTGGGAAATCCTTTTGGTGTTATAATTGAAGCGAGTATGAGAAAGATGCTATCAAAACTCTTCACCTTTGTGTGTAATAGGACGTGATCAGTGTACCTTGAACATACGCGGAGATGCTTATACATCAAATGACCATTAAATGAACGTCAAAGAAGAGTATTTTCATACAATATAACAACATGTCTTTTATTGGAAATTTGCAAATAGACTCATCAGTTAAATCGACAGAATTTCAACCGGTTTGCCGTGAAATAACATAAATAAGACAATAAAACGTACATTTCCATACCTGCTACTTTACAAATGAGGTAAAACACGTTCAAAATATGTAGCTTAATAGAATAGACGGATAAAGGTACTGATTATTCTCCTTGTGATACTTTATATCTCAGATGGGTCTTTCAGGGTTTTTTTCTGCATCGATGTCCTGTTATTCATGATATTTTCATAGCAATAAAACCCTAACTAGATTATTTAAATAGTTGTTTCAGCTTTTGTGGAGCATATTTCGACAAATATATTGACTATACCGACATTCTATGTAAAGCGCATTTTTTCATCACATTCTGAATTGTTTTTAAAAATCAACCAAATCCAGTTTTTAACAGTTGCTTCAATCAATTTTGATTTTACTCAGTCGTCATTTAAGTTGCAAAGTTTAGACCCTTACCATCACTGACGAGTCCTAAATGGACGAAACATCTGTTTGATTAATTATTTGGATTTATTGTCTCATATTCTAAATTTGTATTAATAGGTGCTATTCAGTTGTGTTTTTGTTCATTCTTCAATCAACATCAACACCAAACTGACTTAACTCCATCATGAAAAGTCGCCTGCATGGCGTTCTTTATAATCGGTTTCTCCCATTTCACTTCTAAAAAGTTATAAAAAGATAAAATACGTACTAGATTTACATTCGTGAGAAGTAAAGTACAAATTAAGAACATGAAATGATTATCATAGAACGTTATCAACAATACTTATCGCCTTTTGTTAGCAATCATAAGATATATGTCACATGTTGTAGGTAATCACAAAACATTTGCCATTCAGTGAAAGTAACCACAAAATAGATGTCACCTGTTGTTATTATTCATAAGATAGATATCAACTGTTTTAAGTAGTCACATAAAAGTTTTCATCTGGTGATAGATATTACACAAAATTTGTCATCTGTTGATAGATATTACAAAATATTTGTCGCCTGTTGATGAATATTACAAAATATTTATCGTCTGTTGATGAATATTACAAAATATTTGTCGTCTGGTGATAGTTATTACAAAATATTTGTCATCTGGTGATAGAAATCGCATAGCAGTTGTTACCTAGTGACTTAATGATTGTCATCCAGTTATAGTTGTCATTTGTTGTTAGTTATTACACAGAAGTCAGAAATCAGAAAATCGTTGTCACTGGGTGTTCTTAGTTGCAAAAACAGTTGTCACCTGTTGCAGTTTTTGTCCGTTCTTAGATATCGCAAAAATGGTGGTCAGATGTTGTTAGCAATTACAAAATAGCTGTCACCTGTTGTTAATGATTGCAATATACATATATATCACCTGTTGTAAGTAACCACAAAACCAAGTATTGTAACAAATATGATCACAAAATGGATGTCATTATATGAAATAAAAGTCATTTTCATTCTTTATTAGGTTTACTGCGTCAACAGCCCACATTTCATCACTTACCGACATTATTCTGGTTGGTGAAAACACAACCAAGGAAACAACTATGGGGAGACCGAAGTTCCCCGGAGTTCTGCCTTGCTTGATGCTGGTTTTGACTATTCCCATGGTATTTTCGCAAAGTAAGTATACTTAAGAGCTATGTCGTCATGTCTATCATGTTATGGTCGATATTCAAAGGGGTCTTTTTCCATTTTCCATTTCTCTTTCTTTTCTTTTTTTTTTAAGGGAGGGGAGGGGAGTGGGTGGGTGGGTGATGGAATGTACTTGCAAAAAATAGATACACTTTGTTTTTATATCATGGGTCAATAACATCAAAAAAAAATTAAAGATAATCCTCATGATTTAATCACAGAACACAATATTTTTTATTAATAAACTAATTTCTTTGATCATTTCTTACACCGCCGCAAAAAAAAAAAAAAAAAAAAATAATAATAATAATAATAAAACGTGACTTTACAAAATGACTACGTGTTATTTTTTTTATGATTATAAAAAATGAAAATGTTTGTATCATAGATAAATAAGTTATTTACTCTTTAAATGCCATAGTTCATTAGTACTCACTTTCACGGACTGGAATTGTCTCAGAAACTACACTTAAACAATTCTGGTAGTTGACACTGTTGTCAATGGAAAAAGGAACATATTTGTCATACGCCACTAAGTGATACCAATGCACTTGCCTGTGAGAGGATTCGCTCAAGTCTAATCAAACGTTTGTCACTTTCGCCAGGAAATAAACAACGCTTTACTTTATGCTGACTTAACCAACCTTTACCGATAACAAGACAAAAGAATATGTTTGTTACCCTGTTCATCTTGCCTGGGTGTTTTATCCATCTTTAACAAATTTACATCATTTTCTTAATTGATAGGCATGCAGAGTATGAAAATATGAATAACAAAATTATGATGTCAGTAATGTTACTTAACTTAGGATTTCGAATTCCAGCCATTGGCAGCATGTATATGATAGGACATAAATTTATGTTTGTGCCTTGAAATTTCTGTAACTAAGCCTGAATTCTAATGACGGTTTTTTCTTTTATCAATACAAAACCTCTTAAATACTATATCCGGATTAACGTTTGCCTCACCATCAGTCATTAAAATGTGACATCGAAAGAGAAACAAGCATGAGCAAATTATATGTAAGATATGAATATCAGTCTGATAATCATATAAAAAACTAAGTAGCATGACAGAATAAACTAAGATACATCCAAACGTCAACTTAAATCAATAAAGAACTGAATGAATAATAAATATCTAGATAAAAGTAATAAATTATGTTCATTCCTTATTGAGGATATCACTGATTGTTTTTATTATTATTATTTCTTGGGCACAAAATCAACGAAAATATTTCATAGATATATGTATTTTACTGAATTCTACATCTGAATACAACGCCGAAGAAATGATAAACTGTACGCAATTTCACTACTTACCTCTAATAATTTAACATCTATTATATATATCGTTGTGTTTAATTCTTTCAGTTTATTTTTTTTATTAAAAATTACTTAAAAACTGTATTACTTAAACGCTTTATCATTTGAAGCTATGCCGAGCTTGAAACAATGAAAGTCAACTGATGAATGGATTAGAAACAAACAAAGTTTCCTAAATAGCCCTTTTTATGCTCAGGTCCCCCGGTTGTACAGCATCCTTCGACTGTATACACTGGAACTACAGGAGGTTCTGTTGTCCTTGGGTGTATTGTATCCGCCAACCCAACCGCTACCTCAGTAACATGGGTGAAGACAACTGGCACAGGCGCTGGAAGCTTGACGATAGACAATACCAAGTACCAAGACGGAAATGTTGGAACACCTTCTCTTAGAATAAATAGTCTAACACAAGCAGATGCGGGAACGTATGTTTGCCAAGCAACAAACGCCGGTGGAACAGGACAGACCACTGGAACAACGCTGACTGTCACAGGAAGTAAGTTGGATAGTTTACCCCCTTCCTCATGTTTAGTAGGTTTCAACAAAATCGCCTTTAAAACTACTGTCCAGTTTCCGAAGTACAAAACAGCTGTTTATAGTAAGTGGCCATTCACATTCACAAACATTAAAACAATTGGATTAGTTGCTCTTTTTTTTTGGGGGGGGGGGGTGGTGGTGTCGTAGATTTTCACTTCAATTCTTGAATGACAATCAGTTATTGAAATCTGAAATATAAATTCAAAACTTTGATTATATTGTCACTTACCTTTATAATGAAAGTTCCGTTTACAACAATTTCTGTTATGCATATATTGAGTTTTCTTTGATTGTTCAAAGTTCAAACAGTTTTGACAAAAGGGTTATTTTTCGCAAATGCCCCGAAATGAAGTCTCGTTTTCTATATCATTTCTATTTTCAGTATCTATTTTTCCATTCTTCTTTTCTCGAAAGTAGCGATAAAAAGACAAAAATAAACACTTTTACAGTACATATCTTTTTTTATCCAGGCAGATTCGATGTTGATTTGGTTTCTTCAGCTTTCTTTTTAAAACTTTGAGTCACTCTATGCTCGAAGAACACATACTACTTATGAGTGACCCTCATATAAAGATAACCTCATCTAGTATCGTTTACAAATGCAATTACATTTTCTACCATTTTATACACTATAATCTAAGACGAAAGAAAGTATTCAAATGTGAATGGCGGTTAAAGTACATGGTTGTACATGTATTATACTAGTATAAATACCCTTTGCATCTTCCCACAGTCTTGTTGATCGACATATAATTTCGCCCGCCTGAATTAATTATAGAACAAACAGCTCAAACTATGATTGCAAAGACGAATAACCATGACTTTGATATTTTGGCAAAGCACTTGCCGTGCAAGTCTATAACATAAATCATAAACACAGGGAAGTTTATTTTACATTGGAATGATACAGATTGTAGGAAACCAAAGTGAAGGAACTCCTACAGCGAATTTTAAGCGAAAATTCTTTTAGACAATTGAAGGGACTTTATGATATAATATCCTTACCCAAAAGACGTGGGACTCATTCTGAAAATGCTTCTGTAAGTCACTCTAGGGTAGATAACTCTTGCACGAGAAGAAAACAAGGAAATTGATTAAACTGGTAATTCATCAACACTACTCAAATCAAGAAAGAAGTGATTACTCTTACATGTAAAGGAAACTTCATTGCCTCTAGAGAGGTGCTAATAAATCATAAAACCGCATTCACTTAACCCAAGGAAGACTACTCTTACAGTGAAATTGATACAATACCCGCAGACAGCTGTAGTATATAATATTGATATCTATCATCAGTTAATGTTTTACACAAACTCAAAACTTTGCGGAGAATGTTATTTTTACAATCCAGAAAACTAAAGCAGGTAAATGTGATATGAATTTGCATACAAATCAAAGACTGAAAAATTTTACCCTCATCCTAGACAACAAATGCAGGTTAATGCACTTATAGCACAAATGTCAGTCTACTAAAGCAGAAATAAAAGTTTATTAACAACGCTGAAAACTACGATTGGAGATGAGAATGTTCGCAACCACTTTTTAAACAAATCTCAAGAATCTGGAAACTATGCCGACTGAGTTATTGTACCATGGGTGTCGAACTAGAAAACTCGAAAACAATATTGTTCGACGTTTTATATGTCTATTCAATACATTGATAACTTGGATGGGTGCTGATCCCTACATTATGAGCAGATGTGTCCCTACAGTTGGACATTTGCCTTCGTTATCATTAAAATCAACATTTTGCGTGATTCTGTTGAAATGTTTGATGTTGCTACTGATTGCCCCTAGTTCGGACAAATACTAACCAAATCTTGTGATAACATCCAAGATTGCATGGGCTATCCGGATTTTTTTTTTTTTTTTTTTTGCGGAGTACTTTACTTAGCCCTTGGTATGCCCCTTCCTTCACCTGTTTACTGGACAAAAATATCCCAATCCATCAACAGGTCGTTAATCGTATTGCAACATTCATGAAAAGTATGAATGATAATTGTCAAGCTAAGTTGGTTCTTCTTTGGCGAACTACAGGTAGATTGTCATTTCCCTAAGGATCATGACTATGCACAAATAAGAACTTGACCTTAATCAATTTTCTATTACGATTTCTATTCATAATACTATTTGTCCAATATCAATTCAATACTCCATTAAGACTGTAGAAGATGGGCGGATGATGATTTCTAGACATTTTCTTAATTCAGGGGCCGTACCTCTGGAATGTAAAGGTCAACATATCTACAAAAAATGCCAGAACGACTTTTATTGCTGCCTTCAGGCAAATCATATATTCCACAAGTTGATTTTTCTAGCGACAAGATAAGAGATAAAGGTGGACTTCTGTTAAAGGTGGATGTATTTTCCCTTACAGTATTTTCTTAAATAAACAAACGAACATAAACACTGATTATCAAATTTACCAAATACATTTTAATGCTATCTCTTCATCATTTTCCTATTTTCATCCTTAAACATCATTAACAGGTCCTAGAAGGACTCAGCTAATATTTGCTGCAGCTCTAGTCCAAATTTGTATGATATGGCGCTGATTGCTTCCGTATCTTGTTATGCGTATTGGAAAACCAAACACTAAAACTAATCCCTATTTATTTTTTTCAGCTCCACCGACTGTTACCATTGGACAGAATAACTATCAGGTGGCTATTGCAGGAACAGTCACTATTGTGTGTAACGTGAATTCGAATCCTACACAAACAGGCGTCGGATGGCAGAAGCTCGTCAATAACGCGTATCAGGATGTATCAATAACGACAAATAGTAGATACAACACTGGAGGAACTACCACCGCACCAACATTCATCATCACTAACGCCCAATCTTCCGACGCTGGAACTTACAGATGTACAGCCACTAATCAGTTTGGAACTACAAATAGTGGAAACACTGTACTAACAGTCACTGGTAGTAAGTAGAATTATGAATTCTTAATTTATCATGACCGGATATTTTTTTATTCATTATCAGCATTTCCAAGTAATTCTCTCATTTTTTATCAATAGCGAAATCAATTTGATGATCTTATATAGATTTAAAGAAATATTCATAGTATGCTCACTAACATCTCTGATATAAAAACTCCATTTACAAATATAACACTTTTCTAATCAATGACCACAATCATTCGTTAAAATCTGCAAACATTCTTTACTGATAATGGCACTAAATGTTCCATCTTTGTAATACCAGCATGTAACTTAATTTATAATTTGGATGAACGGATTTAACAAAATAGCAGATATTGTCATCTTAATTTGTGTATGTAAAATAACAAAGAAAAATAAGTTAAAACGAAAAAATAAAATAGACAGCTTTCCACAAAGCTGTCTGAATATTTTAACTTCCCTTATGTGATTTTTCCTAATCCCATTATCAAGATTGCCGCGTCATTGAGATCACATTGAGAAATATATGTTATGTTAATGTCGAGAAAAAAGAACATAATTGTCATACACCACTGAGTGAAATTTATTTAATCGATTGTGAGAGAATTTATTGATATCTTATCAAATGTGTGCCTTTCTTTAGGAAGTAATCAACACGGCTTTACGCTTTTAATCGATATGTGATTTTGCTTTATCTATATTTAGGAAAGATACATGCATTGTACAACAGTTGAATTTCAAAATGCATATGCCCATTGCGCTTTCCATTTAGCAATGCATAACAAAGCTGTTTAGTTTGAATGATCATTCAATTTTAACATTTAAACCTTAACCTGATGACCGAGAGTGAAAATTACATTTGTACAGCGATTAATCAAATAAATACCTTTAAATTTCAACTCCTCGAAAACAATTTTTTATTAAATACTGAACAACCTATACTAAATAATACAATCAGTAATGTTAATTAACTTAGCGTTTAAATTCCAGGTAGCCATTTAACAGCATGTATATGATAGGATATAACTTTATGCTTGTGCCATGAAATGGCTGTAACTAAGCTTGACTTTTAATGACATTAGTTCTTTTTTTATAACTTAAACTCCTAAAATCTAGATCCGAATTAAATTCATCTTAACTTACAACATATGATATACTAGTAGTAAACAGCAATCTGGCCTCACTTGTATATATACTAGTAGTACACAGCTATCCAGCCTCACAAGTAGTACATAGCAATCAGGCCCCACTTGTAGATATACCAGTAATACACAACAATCCAGCCCACAAGTAGTACACAGCAATCTGGCCCCACAAGTAGTACACAGAAATATGGCCCCCGAGTAGTACACAGCAATCCGGCCCCACGTGTGGATATACTAGCAGTAAACAGCAATCTGACACCACTTGTAAATATACTAGTAGTACACAGCAATCTGGCCCCACTTGTAGATATACTAGTAGTATACAGCTCTATCCGGCCCCACAACTACTTCACAGCAATCCGGCCTCACTTGTAGATATACCAGTAGTAAACAGCTATCCGGCCCCACAAGAAGTACACAGAAATCCGGCCCCACGTGTAAATATACTAGTAGTAAACAGGAATCTCACACCACTTGTAAATATACTATTAGTACACAGCTCTATCCGGCCCCACAACTACTTCACAGCAATATGGCCCCACGTGTAGATATAATAGTAGTTCACAGTAATATGGCCCTATGTGTAGATATACTAGTAGTTAACATCAGTCCAGCCCCATAAGTAGCACAAGTTTTCTCTACTATCACAACTGAAAGATATATTATGCAGTCTGCTGCTGTGTTTATTTCTTTCAGTCTATTGAAATGACTCCTAACATTTTCATATTAAGTTTTGTTGGGCTTATAATGGAAGTAAACAAATAAATAGATAAGAAACAAAGAGTTTTCTAAATAGCGTTTTGTGATGTTCAGATGCCCCAACGGTACAGCATCCTTCGACTGTATACACCGGGACAACAGGAGGTTCTGTTCAGCTTGGGTGTATTATAACCGCCAACCCAGCCGCTACCATAGTTGAATGGTTTAAGACAAGTGGCACAAACACTGGCAGGATCACAGTAGGCACTGGCAAATATCAAAACGGAAATACTGGAGCGCCTTTTCTTACAATAAACTCGCTAACACAAGCAGATGCGGGAACGTATGTTTGCCAAGCAACAAACGCTTTTGGTACAACTCAGAGCACTGGAACAACGCTGACTGTCACCGGAAGTAAGTTTGATCTTTTGCTTGACCATATTTTGTCCTTCCTCAGTCGCCTCCTAGGCACGTAGCACCACTGTACAGCCACTGAACAGCGAAATAGCTGCACGGTACACAGTTTGATTCATTTCGCTTCCTTTAATTCATATTTTTGCTGTAAGGCAACATTCACATATATGATTCGACTTCTCCATCACTTTTCATATTTTCATCCTTAAGCATCATTAACAGGTCCTAGAAGGACAAAACTAATATTTCCTGCAGCTCTTAGACAAATTTGTATGATATGGCGCTGATTGCTTCCGTATCTTATTGTGCGTATTGGTAAAGCAATACACTAAAACTAATTCCCATTTAATTTTTTCAGCTCCACCGACTGTTACCATTGGACAGAATAACTATCAGGTGGCTATTGCAGGAACAGTCACTATTGTGTGTAACGTGAATTCGAATCCTACACAAACAGGCGTCGGATGGCAGAAGCTCGTCAATAACGCGTATCAGGATGTATCAATAACGACAAATAGTAGATACAACACTGGAGGAACTACCACCGCACCAACATTCATCATCACTAACGCCCAATCTTCCGACGCTGGAACTTACAGATGTACAGCCACTAATCAGTTTGGAACTTCAAATAGTGGGAACACTGTGCTAACAGTCACTGGCAGTAAGTAGAATTATGAATTCTTAATTTATCATGACCGGATTTTTTCCCGGAATAATTGTTTAGTTTTTAGAAATCTGTGGAAAGTGAAATCAGCTTTTGTGATTTATTCGATTTACAGCAGAAATTGATTTTAATTACATCATGGTTATAGTTTGGTATCAGAGAAAAATGTTTCTACGGAAAAAGTAATTTCTAAGGAAAAATCAGATGTCATGTTCATTGATATGGGATGTGGCGGTCCTAGGAGAAAATAGACAAACGAGCCAATATTAAATTTAACAATATTATAAAGTAACAAAATATATAATAAATACAAAAAATAAAGCCTTGTGAAAACTATACTTACACAAACACAAAATTATGATCTCAGTTCCTTTGTCACCGTCTACCGCCCTAATACAAAGGTACCGCCGTAACACAGCTATATAGCCTTAAGTGTATCAGTAAGCAACTTTGTAAGAATACAGCTCTCCAGCCCCACAAGCAGTACACAGCAATCTGGCCCCACTTGTAGATATACTAGTAGTACACAGCAATCCGGCCCCATGTGTAGATATACAAGTAGTAAACAGCTTTCCGGCCCAACAAGCAGTACACAGCAACTGGCCACACTTGTAGGTATACTAGTAGTACACAGCTATCCGGCCCCTCAAGTAGTACAAAGCTATCCGGACCTACAAGTAGTACACAGCAATCTGGTCCCACTGGTAGATATACTAGTAGTACATAGTAATCTGGCCCCACTTTTAGATATACTAGTAGTAAACAGCAATCTGGCACCACGTGTAGATATACTTGTACTACACAGCGATCTGGCCCCACTTGTAGATATACTAGTAGTACACAGCAATCCGGCCCCATGTGTAGATATACTAGCAGTAAACAGCTTTTCGGCCCCACAAGTAGCACACAGCAACTGGCCCCACTTGTAGATATACTAGTAATACACAGCAATTCGGCCCCACTTGTTGGTATACTAGTAGTACACACCAATGCAGCCCCACAAGTAGTACACAGCAATATGTCACCACTTGTAGATATATTAGTAGTAAACAGCAATCTGGCACCACTTGTAGACATACTAGTAGTACACAGCTATCCGGCCCCACAAGTAGTAAACAGCAATCTGACCCCACGTGTAGATATACTAGTACTACACAGCTATCAAGCTCCACAAGTAGTACATAGCTATCCGGACCCACAAGTAGTACACAGCAATCTGGTCCCACTTGTAGATATACTAGTAGTACATAGTAATCTGGCCCCACTTGTAGATATACTAGTAGTAAACAGCAATCTGGCACCACGTGTAGATATACTTGTACTACACAGCAATATGGCCCCACTTGTAGATATACTAGTAGTTAACATTTGTCCAGCCCCATAAGTAGTACAAGTTTTGTCTGCTATCAAAACTGTACGAAATATATATATATATATAACATATATTATGCAGTCTGCCGTTTTGGTTTTTATTCAGACTGTTGAAATGCCTCATAACTTTTTCATATTAAGTTTTGTTGGGCTTTTAATGGAAGTAAACAAATAAATAGATAAGAAACAAAGAGTTTTCTAAATAGCGTTTTGTGATGTTCAGATGCCCCAACGGTACAGCATCCTTCGACTGTATACACCGGGACAACAGGAGGTTCTGTTCAGCTTGGGTGTATTATAACCGCCAACCCAGCCGCTACCATAGTTGAATGGTTTAAGACAAGTGGCACAAACACTGGCAGGATCACAGTAGGCACTGGCAAATATCAAAACGGAAATACTGGAGCGCCTTTTCTTACAATAAACTCGCTAACACAAGCAGATGCGGGAACGTATGTTTGCCAAGCAACAAACGCTTTTGGTACAACTCAGAGCACTGGAACAACGCTGACTGTCACCGGAAGTAAGTTTGATCTTTTGCTTGACCATATTTTGTCCTTCCTCAGTCGCCTCCTAGGCACGTAGCACCACTGTACAGCCACTGAACAGCGAAATAGCTGCACGGTACACAGTTTGATTCATTTCGCTTCCTTTAATTCATATTTTTGCTGTAAGGCAACATTCACATATATGATTCGACTTCTCCATCACTTTTCATATTTTCATCCTTAAGCATCATTAACAGGTCCTAGAAGGACAAAACTAATATTTCCTGCAGCTCTTAGACAAATTTGTATGATATGGCGCTGATTGCTTCCGTATCTTATTGTGCGTATTGGTAAAGCAATACACTAAAACTAATTCCCATTTAATTTTTTCAGCTCCACCGACTGTTACCATTGGACAGAATAACTATCAGGTGGCTATTGCAGGAACAGTCACTATTGTGTGTAACGTGAATTCGAATCCTACACAAACAGGCGTCGGATGGCAGAAGCTCGTCAATAACGCGTATCAGGATGTATCAATAACGACAAATAGTAGATACAACACTGGAGGAACTACCACCGCACCAACATTCATCATCACTAACGCCCAATCTTCCGACGCTGGAACTTACAGATGTACAGCCACTAATCAGTTTGGAACTTCAAATAGTGGGAACACTGTGCTAACAGTCACTGGCAGTAAGTAGAATTATGAATTCTTAATTTATCATGATCGGATTTTTTCCCGGAATAATTGTTTAGTTTTTAGAAATCTGTGGAAAGTGAAATCAGTTTCTGTGATTTATTCGATTTACTGCAGAAATTGATTTTAATTGCAACAACGATTTATCCACTTCACAATTTTGGTTTGCTTATTCATTATTAGCATTTCCAAGTAATTCTCTAATTTTTATCAACACCAAAATCGTCAAAATTTGATGATACTTTATAGGTATAGAGAACTATACATAGTATGCTCACTAACATCTCTGATAAAAAAAACTCCATTTACAAATACTTTTCTAATCAATGACCACAATCATTAGTTAAAATCTGCAAACATTCTTTACGGAAAATGACACTAAAAGTTCCATCTTTGTAATACCATCATGTAACTTAATTTATAATTTGGATGAACGGATTTAACAAAATAGCAGATATTGTCATCTTAATTTGTGTATGTAAAATAACAAAGAAAAATAAGTTAAAACAAAAAATAAAATAGACAGTTCTCCACAAAGCTGTCTGAATATTTCAATTTCCCAACTGTGAATTTTCCTATTCTAATTAACAAGATTGCCGCGTCATCGAGATCACATTGAGAAACAAAGAACATATTTGTCAAACGCCACTGAGTGAAATCTATCAACTCGATTGCGAGAGAATTTATTAAAATCTTATATGTGTGCCTTTCTTCAGGAAGTAATCAACACTTTGCTTTATGCTTTTAATCGATATGAGATTTTGCTTTATCTATATTTAGGAAAGATACATGCATTGTACAACAGTAGAATTTCAAAATGCATATGCCCATTGCGTTTTCCCTTTAACAATGCATAAAGGTCTATAAGTTGTTTAGTTTGAATGCTCATTCAATTTTAATATTTAAACCTCAACGGATCCCTGATGACCAATACTCAGTTCGTCCTCTGGCGCGTCCTTAGAAATAACTGACCATATACACACATATAATTAATTGTTATGCTAATTACTGCTGTTTTTAATTCTTTCAGTCTATTGAAATGACTAACACACTGTATGTCTGGGTTTTTTTCATATTAAGTTTTGTTGGGCTTATAATGAAAGTAAACAAATAAATAGATAAGAAACAAAAATAGTTTTCTAAATAGCATTTTGTGATGTTCAGATGCCCCAACGGTACAGCATCCTTCGACTGTATACACCGGGACAACAGGAGGTTCTGTTCAGCTTGGGTGTATTATAACTGCCAACCCAGCCGCTACCATAGTTGAATGGTTTAAGACAAGTGGCACAAACACTGGCAGGATCACAGTAGGCACTGGCAAATATCAAAACGGAAATACTGGAGCGCCTTTTCTTACAATAAACTCGCTAACACAAGCAGATGCGGGAACGTATGTTTGCCAAGCAACAAACGCTTTTGGTACAACTCAGAGCACTGGAACAACGCTGACTGTCACCGGAAGTAAGTTTGATCTTTTGCTTGACCATATTTTGTCCTTCCTCAGTCGCCTCCTAGGCACGTAGCACCACTGTACAGCCACTGAACAGCGAAATAGCTGCACGGTACACAGTTTGATTCATTTCGCTTCCTTTAATTCATATTTTTGCTGTAAGGCAACATTCACATATATGATTCGACTTCTCCATCACTTTTCATATTTTCATCCTTAAGCATCATTAACAGGTCCTAGAAGGACAAAACTAATATTTCCTGCAGCTCTTAGACAAATTTGTATGATATGGCGCTGATTGCTTCCGTATCTTATTGTGCGTATTGGTAAAGCAATACACTAAAACTAATTCCCATTTAATTTTTTCAGCTCCACCGACTGTTACCATTGGACAGAATAACTATCAGGTGGCTATTGCAGGAACAGTCACTATTGTGTGTAACGTGAATTCGAATCCTACACAAACAGGCGTCGGATGGCAGAAGCTCGTCAATAACGCGTATCAGGATGTATCAATAACGACAAATAGTAGATACAACACTGGAGGAACTACCACCGCACCAACATTCATCATCACTAACGCCCAATCTTCCGACGCTGGAACTTACAGATGTACAGCCACTAATCAGTTTGGAACTTCAAATAGTGGGAACACTGTGCTAACAGTCACTGGCAGTAAGTAGAATTATGAATTCTTAATTTATCATGATCGGATTTTTTCCCGGAATAATTGTTTAGTTTTTAGAAATCTGTGGAAAGTGAAATCAGTTTCTGTGATTTATTCGATTTACTGCAGAAATTGATTTTAATTGCAACAACGATTTATCCACTTCACAATTTTGGTTTGCTTATTCATTATTAGCATTTCCAAGTAATTCTCTAATTTTTATCAACACCCAAATCGTCAAAATTTGATGATACTTTATAGGTATAGAGAACTATACATAGTATGCTCACTAACATCTCTGATAAAAAAAACTCCATTTACAAATACTTTTCTAATCAATGACCACAATCATTAGTTAAAATCTGCAAACATTCTTTACGGAAAATGACACTAAAAGTTCCATCTTTGTAATACCATCATGTAACTTAATTTATAATTTGGATGAACGGATTTAACAAAATAGCAGATATTGTCATCTTAATTTGCGTATGTAAAATAACAAAGAAAAATAAGTTAAAACAAAAAATAAAATAGACAGTTCTCCACAAAGCTGTCTGAATATTTCAATTTCCCAACTGTGAATTTTCCTATTCTAATTAACAAGATTGCCGCGTCATTGAGATCACATTGAGAAACAAAGAACATATTTGTCAAACGCCACTGAGTGAAATCTATCAACTCGATTGCAATAGAATTTATTAAAATCTTATATGTGTGCCTTTCTTTAGGAAGTAGTCAACACTTTGCTTTATGCTTTTAATCGATATGAGATTTTGCTTTATCTATATTTAGGAAAGATACATGCATTGTACAACAGTAGAATTTCAAAATGCATATGCCCATTGCGTTTTCCCTTTAACAATGCATAAAGGTCTATAAGTTGTTTAGTTTGAATGCTCATTCAATTTTAATATTTAAACCTCAACGGATCCCTGATGACCAATACTCAGTTCGTCCTCTGGCGCGTCCTTCGAAATAACTGACCATATACACACATATAAAAAATTGTTATGCTAATTACTGCTGTTTTTAATTCTTTCAGTCTATTGAAATGACTAACACACTGTATGTCTGGGTTTTTTTCATATTAAGTTTTGTTGGGCTTATAATGAAAGTAAACAAATAAATAGATAAGAAACAAAAATAGTTTTCTAAATAGCATTTTGTGATGTTCAGATGCCCCAACGGTACAGCATCCTTTGACTACATACACCGGGACAACAGGAGGTTCTGTTCAGCTTGGGTGTATTATAACCGCCAACCCAGCCGCTACCATAGTTGAATGGTTCAAGACAAGTGGCACAAACACTGGAAGAATCACGGTAGGCACTGCAAAATATCAAAACGGAAATACTGGAGCGCCTTCTCTTACAATAAACTCGCTAACACAAGCAGATGCGGGAACGTATGTTTGCCAAGCAACAAACGCTTTTGGTACATCTCAGAGCACTGGAACAACGCTGACTGTCACCGGAAGTAAGTTTGATTTTTAGCTTGACCGTTTTGGCAGTTCCTCAGTCGCCTTATAAATATTTTTTATCCACACAATTTTCGGTGTTTATTTGGTTTCGTCAACTTTCAAATAATGTTCATCTAGTATATTTAAGGAATTCAATGTCCTCTTCTGAAATAAAGAAATCCCTAAAGGGAGCATATTCCTCTTGTCTGTACACTATGATCCAAAACGAAAGAATGTCTTCAAATGTGAAATTATTATTATTATCATTATTACAATCTTAACGGCCCGTCAACACGTAAAGGTGTTTTAAATTATCACTACTCCTGCATCGTCAAAAATTGTCGTCGATCGACATATAATTTCGCCCTACTAAAACGAAATCAAGCTGTGAGATAACCTTGCCGATGACGATCTGTAAAATATGGAACAAACAGTTCAAACTATGATTGCAAAGGCGAATAATCAGAAATCTGTCATTTTGGCACGGTTTCTGTAAATGAAAGTGAATGTAATACTTACTATAAAAATATAGAATCTTAAGTGAGGAAACACTTATAAGGCATTTAATCGAAAACTTGTTTTAGACAACTGAAGGGGCATAAAACTTTCAAATTAATAGACGTAACCAAGAGTCATAGCATTCATACTGAAAGTACTTCTTGAGTTATCCAAGGAAGGATAACTCTTGCACGAAATCGGTTATTTACAACACTTTACTCAAGTCAAGAAAGAGGAGTTACTCTTACATGTAAAGGAAACTTCATTACCTCTAGGGAGGTGCTGATAATTCATAAAACTGCATTCACTTAACCAAATGAAGTCTTCTCTTACAGTGAAATTGAGACCTACAGCCAACCACAATACATAATAATGATATCAGTTATACCTTATTTTTTATACAAACTTAAACTATGCGGACAACTATAGAAGGTAGATGTACTATAGATTTTACATATCAATAAAAGAAAAGTAAAGCAGGTGAATGTAATATAGATTATATAACACGCTCCTCAGCCTCTAAAGTAGTCGAAAATGTTTATTAAACAACGCTGACAACACCTTTGATATCAGATTGTCCGGTAGGCTCTGGTATTAGACTGTAACCTGCATGTTCCGTGTTGTTTTTCTGGCCCAATACATCAGTCAGATTATAAATATTTAGTTTTAATTCAATGAAGGACAGCATTCCCTTTTGTCTAGGGATTTTAATTTTGCGACATCTCTTATGACCGTTAATAAAGCGAAATAAAACATCACTTACATCATTCTAATTATAGAATACATTTTTTCACAGTAAGAAATATTTAGCAGTTTTGACTGCTTATCAAAAGATTGTGTAAGTATATTATTTTCTGTTTGTGTTGTAGCTGTAGCGACTGCAAGCATTCCCCTGTCTTCTTATACCGTGGTTGCAGGCCAGCAAATTACTATTCCTTGTAATGTAGCGGGAAATCCTGCAGTCACTTCGGTGACATGGACAAAAATCACCAACAATGTACCCACGACCATTTCTATAGCGAGTATTTCTCGGTATAGTGGTGGAATTCCAACAGTCCCAGGATTGACCATAAATCCTTCCCAAACATCGGACGCGGGGACATACAGATGTGCCGCAACTAATGGATTGGGCACTGGGACTAGCGGCACGACCCAGCTCATTGTAACAAGTAAGACGACATCGTTCTTTTCATTCATAAAATGCGAAGCAACTTGTAAATCATCTGTATAAATTGTCAAAGATATATCGTATACACGAATGAAGATCGCTAAAAAAATCAAAATTGTTTTTTTAATTACATATTACGAGACTTACTTTTTTTCTTTTCCTTCATTTATCTTATTTAATTATCTGTTCATTTCAGTGTTAAAATGAATGTAGATTGAATTTGATCAAAACCTTAAGATAAATGAATATATTCACTACCTCCATCCTGAGAGATTCTCTAATTTTTTTCTTCCTTTCTTTGTTGATTAAAAGAAATGGAATGCAACAAATTGTTACAAAAAGAAATTGATTTATCTCATTATATGTGTATAATATACATTGACGTAATAATCATACCTTAAGCTTTTAGTTATGTAAACAAAGGAGGATTTGTTTATGCTTTAAAATATCGCACAAAACACACAGAAGTGAAAAGCACATTTCAATACAAAGTCAAGTTTCGGAATAGCTGAATATACTGCAGGATACAATAGTTACGTCCTTCTTGGACTCGTCTTAGACGACTGCGGAAAATCATAATAAACCGGAAAACATGTCAAGACCAAGATGATGAGACCCACTATCCAACGATAATGTGAAAGTCGAAGCAAGTAATTGATGAACTGTTTTGATTGATTATCAAAAGATCGTGTAAGTATATAATTATACGCCGCCGAAGGCGGTCGTATATTGGCGTCATATTTCGTTTCCTGTGAACGCAACTCCACCTAAAATAATCTTCAGATTTTCATGAAACTATCTCAATATCACTACTACAATGGGTAGATGTGCACGAAGGGGCGATTGTTTTTTTGGGTTCGTTGATTTTTGTAAGATTTACGCCATTTTCAACTTTGTATCTGTAGCTTGCTCATAGTGGATCTTTGTGAACGCAGCTCCTTCTGAAATAATCATATTTTCACGAAACTTGCTCAATGTCTCTACTACAATGGGTAGATGTGCACGAAGGGGGCGATTTTTTTTTCTTCTTCTTTGATTTTTGTAATATTTATGCCATTTTATCTTGAACTTTATATTTTGTGGCGGCGTATATTGTGTCCACGGCACTCTTGTTTTCTGTTTGCGTTGTAGGTGCAGCGACTGCAAGCATTCCCCTGTCTTCTTATACCGTGGTTGCAGGCCAGCAAATTACTATTCCCTGTACTGTAGCGGGAAACCCTGCAGTCACTTCGGTGACATGGACAAAAATCACCAACAATGTACCCACGACAATTTCTATAGCGAGTATTTCTCGGTATAGTGGTGGAACTCCAACAATCCCAGGATTGACCATAAATCCTTCCCAAACATCGGATGCGGGGACATACAGATGTGCTGCAACTAATGGATTGGGCACTGGGACTAGCGGCACGACCCAGCTCATTGTAACAAGTAAGACGGCATCGTTCTTTTCATTCATAAAATGCTAAGCAACTTCTAAAGCATTCAAATAAAGTATCAAAGATACATCGTATACACGAATGAAGATCGAAAAAAATCAAAATTGTTTTATTAATTATAGATTACGAGACTTACTTTTTTCTTTTCTTTGTCTCTTGATTGTTCTTTTATTTATCTAATTTCATTATCTGTTAGTTGCAAATCGACATGATTTCCTAATTGCTCTTCAACTGCACCGTAAATGGAATTTCAATTTCAATTCTTTAATGCTCCCGAATAACCTTGACGTGCATATCACATTCAGATCAGGTCTGTATGATGAATTAGAGAATTTTCGTCCTATTGGTAATTGTTAATATTAATTACATCATCATTTCAGTGTTAAAATGAATGTTGATTGAATTTGATCAAAACCTTAAGATCAATGATTATATTCACTACCTCCATCCTGAAAGATTTTCTCATTTTATTCTTCCTTTCTTTGTTGATTAAAAGAAATGGAATGCAACAAATTGTTACAAAAAGAAATTGATTTCTCTCGGTATGTATGTATGATATACATTGACGTAATAATCATACCTTAAGCTTTTAGTTACTTAAACAAAGGAGGATTTGTTTATGATTTAAAATAACGCACAAAACACACAGAAGTGAAAAGCACATTTCAATACAAAGTCAAGTTTCGGAATAGCTTAATATACTGCAGGATACAATTGTTACGCCTTTCTTGGACTCGTCTTAGACGACTGCGGAAATTCATGATTAACCGAAAAACATGTCAAGACCAAGATGATGAGACCCACTATCCAACGATAATGTGAAAAGTCGAAGCAAGTAATTGATGAAATGTTTTGATTGATTATCAAAAGATTGTGTAAGTATATCATTATACGGCGCCGGAGGCAGTCGTAAATTGGCGTCATCTTCTCCGTCTGTCCGTCCATCCGTACGTCCGTTTCTTGTGAAAGCAACTCCTCCTAAATTATCATCAGATTTTCATGAAACTTGCTCAATGTCACAACTACAATGGATAGAGGTGCATCAAGGGCGATTATTCGGTTCTTTGATTTTTGTAAGATTTATGCCATTTTCAACTTTGTATCTGTAGCTTGCTCTTAGTGAAGTTTTGTGAACGCAGCTCTCTTAAAATAACAATAAGATTTTCACGAAACTTGCTCAATGTCACTACTTTAATGGGTAGATGTGCATGAAGGGGCGATTATTCGGTTCTTTGTTTTTTTTAAGATTGATGCCATTTTATTTTGATCTTTATATTTTTTGGCGGCGTATATTGTGTCCACGGCACTCTTGTTTTCTGTTTGTGTTGTAGGTGCAGCGACTGCAAGCATTCCCCTGTCTTCTTATACCGTGGTTGCAGGCCAACCAATTACTATTCCTTGTACTGTAGCGGGAAATCCTGCAGTCACTTCGGTGACATGGACAAAAATCACCAACAATGTACCCACGACAATTTCTATAGCGAGTATTTCTCGGTATAGTGGTGGAACTCCAACAATCCCAGGATTGACCATAAATCCTTCCCAAACATCGGATGCGGGGACATACAGATGTGCTGCAACTAATGGATTGGGCACCGGGACTAGCGGCACGACCCAGCTCATTGTAACAAGTAAGACGGCGTCGTTCTTTTCATTCATAAAATGCTAAGCAACTTCTAAATCATTTAAATAAAGTATCAAAGATATGTCGTATACACGAATGAAGATCGCTAAAAAAATCAAAATTGTTTTTTTAATTATAGATAACGAGACTTACTTTTTTATTTTCTTTGTCTCTTGATTGTTCCTTTATTTATCTTATTTCATTATCTGTTCGTTGCAAATCGACATGATTTCCTAATTGCTCTTCAACTGCACCGTAAATGAAATTTCAATTTCAATTCTTTAATGCTCCCGAATAACCTTGACGTGCATATCACATTCAGATCAGGTCTGTATGATGAATTAGAGAATTTTCGCCCTATTGGTAATTGTTAATCTTAATAACACCATAATTTCAGTGTTAAAATGAATGTTGATTGAATTTGATCAAAACCTTAAGATCAATGATTATATTCACTACCTCCATCCTGAAAGATTTTCTCCTTTTATTCTTCCTTTCTTTGTTGATTAAAAGAAATGGAATGCAACAAATTGTTACAAAAAGAAATTGATTTATCTCATTATATGTGTATAATATACATTGACGTAATAATCATACCTTAAGCTTTTAGTTATTTAAACAAAGGAGGATTTGTTTATACTTTAAAATATCGCACAGAACACACAGAGGTGAAAAGCACATTTCAATACAAAGTCAAGTTACGGAATAGCTGAATATACTGCAGGGTACAATAGTTACGTCCTTCTTGGACTCGTCTTAGACGACTGCGGAAAATCATCATTAACTGAAAAACATGTCACGACCAAGATGATGAGACCCACTATCCAAAGATAATGTGAAAAGTCGAAGCAAGTAATTGATGAACTGTTTTGATTGATCAAAAGATTGTGTAAGTATATAATTTTCTGTTTGCGTTGTAGGTGCAGCGACTGCAAGCATTCCCCTGTCTTCTTATACCGTGGTTGCAGGCCAACCAATTACTATTCCCTGTACTGTAGCGGGAAACCCTGCAGTCACTTCGGTGACATGGACAAAAATCACCAACAATGTACCCACGACTATTTCTATAGCGAGTATTTCTCGGTATAGCGGTGGAACTCCAACAATCCCAGGATTGACCATAAATCCTTCCGAAACATCGGATGCTGGGACATACAGATGTGCCGCGACTAATGGATTGGGCACTGGGACTAGCGGCACGACCCAGCTCATTGTAACAAGTAAGACGGCGTCGTTCATAAAATGCAAAGCAACTTCTAAACCATTCAAATACATTGTCAAAGATATATCGTATACACGAATGAAGATCGAAAAAACGAAAGTGTTTTTAATTTCAGACATAGTCGATACAAAAAGAAATTATCTCCACTCAGTATATATGTGTAATTTACATTGACGTATTATACCATACTTTTTAATTGGACAAGGCTTTAGAAGATCACACAAAAGACAGAAGTGAATAACACCTTTCAATACATAGTTACTTTACAGAATAGTCAATTAAACTGCAGAATGCGTCCTTCTCGAACTGATTGAATGGTCTAATGACGTAGATACCTAAGAGACGACTAGAGAAAATCAGAGAATTGATCTAAAGACATGCCAAATCCCAGATTAGGAGGCGCACTTACCAAAGACAATGTGAAAGTTGAAGGCTTCAATAAACAATCATTGACATTTTACGTTAACATTTAATTGGAGTCTGGTATTGCTTGACGGTATTATACAGGATCTAATCAAATTATAAATTACGCAACTGTCAAACTTATTTTAAACAAAAAACAGCGAATATTTGAATAGACATTTTCGTCATATCAGATTCAACAAGATACGCTAAAAATCTAGAAAACAAATCGACTCAACACTAACAGACATACTTTAATATCATGATTTTGGAATACTAGGGTTGACTTTTACCAGCTTGTCCGGTCGTCTGTCCATTAACAATCACTGTCCGGCTATGCTTTTGGTTAGTTGTCGGTGCATTTTGTTAACATGTCATGCGAAGTGCAAGAACCATATGGTGCCGTGCCCGCCTAAGTCCTTTTTTTCATTTTGATCATTTTTACGTTTATGTCCTTATTCTGGGGGAAACGACATTAAGTTTGTCCAGCTATGCATTCTCTTATTTCAAATGGATTATTTCAAATGTCAGGCCAGTGAAGTAATACCTCTTTATTTGAAAAATAAACAGTGAATTTAATCGCTTTTCAATGTATTGCTTTTTACAATATTTGTGAGGTGACAGTATCATTTTGCGTTATCCTCCTAAAGTCAATTTTCTTATCAAACTCTGCAAAAGAATCGCGACAAACATATGCGTTCTTATGCTGTAAAATTTCCATGCTACAAAATCTCCGTAGCTTTGTCAAACCTCGACGAAAAACATTTCACGGAAATCATGAACTTGTGCGAAAATTCTATGTCAGTTTTACTTTCAAGTCATATTTCCGTGATTTTATTCGATCCATGAAAAGAGCAAAAAACAATCCAGGTACCGATTGCGCAAATGCGCGAGATGAAGAAACCAGTCCTGACGTTATGATGTCGCGCGCGGACACCCAGGCTTAGGTCTGTCGGCAATGTGCCCAGTTTCCCTTAGACGTGCAACAATACGTTCTATTTTGCAAATATGGACACCGAAATGTCTGGCAACCTGTATTTGCAATATTCGATACAGTACAAATTGCACTGTAACCTACAGAGTTGCTCGACCGATTTTCATTGCTTTTGATTGCAAGATATTGCAGTGATGATCTTCTTCCTGAAAGCAACTTGCAATACATAGCAATTGGTACTTATCAGAAAAATATATTTACCGTCTGTATTGAAATGTACCTTCTGTATATCAGAGTATTGTGGACATCCGAAATTAACTCTGGTTCTAGATTATTATTTCAAAACGTATCACGTGCTATCTTTTTATCGTTTAAAAATAAACTACGTGTTGCTATAAATCTGTCCTCATTATAAAGAGGAAAGTGACTTTATTTATCTTATATTTCTTACTTAATAACGTCAAATCCTAACTGCATCGCCATTGTTTGAATTTAAGGTTTACCACAAGTGACTGTTGGCCAGACTATTTACACTGCAGTCACTGGCAGCGCTATTACCCTTGTCTGTACGGTAACAGCAAATCCAGCTCATACATCTGTGACGTGGCAGAAGCTTGTCAACAATGTTTTCCAGGCTGTTCCAATCACCACCAATAGTAGATACAGTGGGGGAATAACGACTTCACCATCCCTGGCCATCACCAATTCCCAAACAGGAGACAGCGGAACTTACAGATGTACAGCTAATAACGCAGTAGGGACTGGAGTGAGCCAAAACACCCAGCTTACAGTCAGTGGAAGTAAGTAAAATCTTATTACGAATATGACCGGGTGCTACCATGAAAGTCATGAAAGGATACAAAATGCTTATGTCAGTTTTCCTTTCAAGATTTTTCTCGTGTGGTGTTATCTAATCCACCAAAATACAAAAAATCAACCCCTCGGAAATAACAGGAAACCAATTCGTCGAAACCTAGTATGTGAATAATTTCTCCCTCGCATCATTTGCACATTCCCATGGTTGCTGGAAAATATATTTGCTAAGGTAAATAAAGTAAAACTGAACGAAAACGTCAACAATTTGGATTACGAGGTCAATTTCAATATATATTACAAACCGTATGACTTGCTACTATCTTATCTTTCAAACATAACCTACGGGTTGATATAAATCTGTTCTCATTATAAAAAGGCAAGTGACTTTATTCATATTCTATTTCTTAACTTGATAACGTCAAATCCTAACTGCTTCGCTATTGTTTGCATTTAAGGTTTACCGCAAGTGACTGTTGGCCAGACTATTTACACTGCAGTTACTGGCAGCGCTATTACCCTTGTCTGTACGGTAACAGCAAATCCAGCTCATACATCTGTGACGTGGCAGAAGCTTGTCAACAATGTTTTCCAGACTGTTCCAATCACCACTAATAGTAGATACAGTGGCGGAACAACGACTTCACCATCCCTGGCCATCACCAATTCCCAAACGGGAGACGGCGGAACTTACAGATGTACAGCTAATAACGCAGTAGGGACTGGAGTGAGCCAAAACACCCAGCTTACAGTCAGTGGAAGTAAGTAAAATCTCGTTATGAATAAGACCGGGGGCCACCATGAAAGTCATAAAAGGATACAAAATGTTTATGTCAGTTTTACTTTCCACATTTTTTTCTCACGTGGTTTAATTTCATCCGCGAAAATACAAAAATAAATAAATATAAAAAAAAAAAACCACGGAAATAACAGGAAACCAATTCGTCGAAACCTAGCATGTGAATAATTTCTCCTTCGCCTCATTTGCGCATTCCCATGGTTGGTGGAAAATATGTTTGTTAAGGTAAATAAAGTTAACACACAACGAATGCGTCAACAATTTCGATTACGAGGTCAATTTCAATATATATTTGACTCGTGATCTATCAAAGCGCGATGTACTTCCAGACAACAACTTGCAATATCGCGCGATTGGCACTTATCAGAAAAAATTACCTTCTGTATTGAAATGCACCTTCCGTATATCACAACATTGTTGACATCCGAAATTAAATCTAGTGCTAGATCAATATTACAAACTGTATGACTTGCTACTATTTTATCTTTAAAACATAACTTACGGGTTGATATAAATATATCTTCATTATAAAGAGGAAAGTGACTTTATTGATCTTATATTTCTTACTTCATAACGTCAAATCCTAACTGCATCGCCATTGTTTGCATTTAAGGTTTACCGCAAGTGGCTGTTGGCCAGACTACTTACACTGCAGTCACTGGCAGCGCTATTACCCTTGTCTGTACGGTAACAGCAAATCCAACTCATACATCTGTGACGTGGCAGAAGCTTGTCAACAATGTTTTCCAGCCTGTTCCAATCACCACCAATAGTAGATACAGTGGCGGAACAACGACTTCACCATCCCTGGCCATCACCAATTCCCAAACGGGAGACAGCGGAACTTACAGATGTACAGCTAATAACGCAGTAGGGACTGGAGTGAGCCAAAACACCCAGCTTACAGTCAGTGGAAGTAAGTAAAATCTCGTTACGAATAAGACCGGGTGCCGCCATGAAAGTCATTAAAGGATGCAAAATATTTATGTCAGTTTTAATTTTGAAGATTTTTCTCGTGTGGTGTTATTCAATCCACCAAAATACAAAAAAATCAACCCTAAGGAAATAACGGGAAACCAATTCGTCGAAACATAGCAAGTGAATAATTTCTCCTTCGCCTCATTTGCGCATTTCCATGGTTGCTGGAAAATATGTTTGCTAAGGTAAATAAAGTTAACACACACAACGAATGCGTCAACAATTTCGATTATGAGGTCAATTTCAATATATATATAATAATAATAATAATATACAACATTTATATAGCGCACTATCTATTTTGACAAAATACTCTAATGCGCTTCACAATTATATGATAATCTTACTACAAAATTTACAGAACATGTATAACACAGTAATCAACATATGTAACACAGTAACCAAATCAAGTAAGTAGTGGTGAAAGTATTTATATACAGGACGTCTGCGTGGGAGTCTAAAATGCAGACGTAAACAGGTGGGTTTTAATATCCCTCTTGAATTATATGTATATATTTGACTCGTAATCAATCAAAGCGCGATGTACTTCCAGACAACAACTTGCAATATCGCGCGATTGGCACTTATCAGAAAAAATTACCTTCTGTATTGAAATGCACCTTCTGTATATCACAACATTGTTGACATCCGAAATTAAATCTAGTGCTAGATCAATATTACAAACTGTATGACTTGCTACTATTTTATCTTTAAAACATAACTTACGGGTTGATATAAATATATCTTCATTATAAAGAGGAAAGTGACTTTATTGATCTTATATTTCTTACTTCATAACGTCAAATCCTAACTGCATCGCCATTGTTTGCATTTAAGGTTTACCGCAAGTGGCTGTTGGCCAGACTACTTACACTGCAGTCACTGGCAGCGCTATTACCCTTGTCTGTACGGTAACAGCAAATCCAACTCATACATCTGTGACGTGGCAGAAGCTTGTCAACAATGTTTTCCAGACTGTTCCAATCACCACCAATAGTAGATACAGTGGCGGAACAACGACTTCACCATCCCTGGCCATCACCAATTCCCAAACGGGAGACAGCGGAACTTACAGATGTACAGCTAATAACGCAGTAGGGACTGGAGTGAGCCAAAACACCCAGCTTGCAGTCAGTGGAAGTAAGTAAAATCTCGTTACGAATAAGACCGGGTGCCGCCATGAAAGTCATTAAAGGATGCAAAATATTTATGTCAGTTTTAATTTTGAAGATTTTTCTCGTGTGGTGTTATTCAATCCACCAAAATACAAAAAAAATCAACCCTAAGGAAATAACGGGAAACCAATTCGTCGAAACATAGCAAGTGAATAATTTCTCCCTTGCATCATTTGCGCATTCCCATGGTTGCTGGAAAATATGTTTGCTAAGGTAAATAAAGTTAACACACACAACGAATGCGTCAACAATTTCGATTATGAGGTCAATTTCAATATATATATAATAATAATAATAATATACAACATTTATATAGCGCACTATCTATTTTGACAAAATACTCTAATGCGCTTCACAATTATATGATAATCTTACTACAAAATTTACAGAACATGTATAACACAGTAATCAACATATGTAACACAGTAACCAAATCAAGTAAGTAGTGGTGAAAGTATTTATATACAGGACGTCTGCGTGGGAGTCTAAAATGCAGACGTAAACAGGTGGGTTTTAATATCCCTCTTGAATTATATGTATATATTTGACTCGTAATCAATCAAAGCGCGATGTACTTCCAGACAACAACTTGCAATATCGCGCGATTGGCACTTATCAGAAAAAATTACCTTCTGTATTGAAATGCACCTTCTGTATATCACAACATTGTTGACATCCGAAATTAAATCTAGTGCTAGATCAATATTACAAACTGTATGACTTGCTACTATTTTATCTTTAAAACATAACTTACGGGTTGATATAAATATATCTTCATTATAAAGAGGAAAGTGACTTTATTGATCTTATATTTCTTACTTCATCACGTCAAATCCTAACTGCATCGCCATTGTTTGCATTTAAGGTTTACCGCAAGTGGCTGTTGGCCAGACTACTTACACTGCAGTCACTGGCAGCGCTATTACCCTTGTCTGTACGGTAACAGCAAATCCAACTCATACATCTGTAACGTGGCAGAAGCTTGTCAACAATGTTTTCCAGACTGTTCCAATCACCACCAATAGTAGATACAGTGGCGGAACAACGACTTCACCATCCCTGGCCATCACCAATTCCCAAACGGGAGACAGCGGAACTTACAGATGTACAGCTAATAACGCAGTAGGGACTGGAGTGAGCCAAAACACCCAGCTTACAGTCAGTGGAAGTAAGTAAAATCTCGTTACGAATAAGACCGGGTGCCGCCATGAAAGTCATTAAAGGATGCAAAATGTTTATGTCAGTTTTAATTTTGAAGATTTTTCTCGTGTGGTGTTATTCAATCCACCAAAATACAAAAAAATCAACCCTAAGGAAATAACGGGAAACCAATTCGTCGAAACATAGCAAGTGAATAATTTCTCCTTCGCCTCATTTGCGCATTTCCATGGTTGCTGGAAAATATGTTTGCTAAGGTAAATAAAGTTAACACACACAACGAATGCGTCAACAATTTCGATTACGAGGTCAATTTCAATATATATTTGACTCGTAATCAATCAAAGCGCGATGTACTTCAAGACAACTTGCAATATAGCGCGATTGGCACTTATCAGAAAAAATACCTTCTGTATTGAAATGCACCTTCTGTATATCACAACATTGTTGACATCCGAAATTAAATCTAGTACTAGATCATTATTACAAACTGTATGACTTGCTACTATTTTATCTTTAAAATATAACCTACGTGTTGATATAAATCTTTCCTCATTATAAGGAGGCAAGTGACTTTATTGATCTTATATTTCTTACTTCATAACGTCAAATCCTAGCTGCATCGCCATTGTTTGCATTTAAGGTTTACCGCAAGTGGCTGTTGGCCAGACTACTTACACTGCAGTCACTGGCAGCGCTATTACCCTTGTATGTACGGTAACAGCAAATCCAGCTCATACATCTGTGACGTGGCAGAAGCTTGTCAACAATGTTTATCAGGCTGTTCCAATCACCACCAATAGTAGATACAGTGGCGGAACAACGACTTCACCATCCCTGGCCATTACCAGTTCTCAACCGGGAGACAGCGGAACTTACAGATGTACAGCTAATAACGCAGTAGGGACTGGAGTGAGCCAAAACACCCAGCTTACAGTCAGTGGAAGTAAGTAAAATTTCATTACGAATAAGACCGGGTGCCACCATGCAAGTCATGAAAGGATTCAAAATGTTTATGTCAGTTTCACTTTCAAATTTTTTTCTCACGTGGTGTTATTTATTTCGCAAAGCAACCCCACAGAAATAAGGGAAGTAAAGTTTACACGCGCAAAGAATGCGTCAACAATTTGAATAACGTGGTCAATTTCAATATATATTTAATTATTAATGTATCAAATCGCGATGACTTCACGACAGCAACTTGAAATACATCGCATTTGGCACTTATCAGAAAAAAATGTATCTTCTGTATATCAGAGTATTGTAGACATCCGACATCAGTGAAAGTAAGTGAAATCTCATTACGATTAAATCCGGATGCCACCATGCAATTGAAGGCTTAGCATTGTTGTTTAGGAGGTTTGGTAACCATTTCTTTCTGACGTTATCAGAAAGAGTTTTCTTTGGTGATTTTGTTTAACAGACTCGTAGGTCAATAGTCAAAGCAACAGTGAATATAAAAAGAAAGTCTGTAGCCAAAGAACATCTCAAGTTGTAATGGGTCATCTAGGGAGATAGGGGCATGCTTGGAATTCTTTTTTGGATCCGAAGGTCAAATGTCAAGGTTATTATTTCAATAAAAAGAAAATCAGTTTCTGTACATTATCTTGAACTCTAATTTGTGGGTTTGTTTCAGATTTCCTTCAACGTTTCATTAAAGAAAAAACTTCTTCATCACTTCAAAACCTTAAACAAGAAGTGATTGTTTTGAATTACATTTCAGGTCGGAGTAAAGGATCAAGGCTACTGATAATTGAAAAAAGAATATATGTTTCTGTATGATATCTCAATTGATGGGCCAATTTCATTCATTGCACCGTGAAATGTCTGGGGATCAAAGGTCAATGTCTCTGTTACTGTAAAGAAATCAGATATCTTTAAGATCATTCAAGATATATTGATGATTGCACAATAGACACGCAAATGGATCGCACCCTTAAACACATATTTAGAGGTAGAACAGTCTAGCCAAACCATGGTATTAACTAATTTTTTAAGACTTTGGTTTCATTTATTATTCTTTCATATTTGTCATAGCGCCAGTTGATAAAAACTATAAAGACGGTTATACATCAACTACAATAATGCAAATTCTACATTTATAATTTTTCCTTTCCTGTCATGACATACAACCAGCACCTTTTGCAAATTTATGAATTACATGATATACTGTATTGTTATATATCTGAATATGATATGATCAATATACCGACAAAAAATTGCATCGGTAAATGGTCTCCATGCTATTGAGACAACCACCGAGACAAAGGTGTCCTTGCCCGTCTTCGGATGGACCATACATACCTTACACATTTATATGTGTTGAAAGGCGAAGATAATTCATGGTGCATAGGATGCGATGAGCCATTCACTGTTCAACATTTTCTGTTAGACTGCATTGACTTTCTGTCTACTTGAGAAATTTTTATCGTAATGTTACAAGTCTTAAGACCCTTTTTGAAACTGTTGAGATTGATAGAATTCAAGGCTATCAGAAAAATGTTGGTCTATATTATAGCCTATGATTTACCATTTTGATCTTTTGTGATATTATAACCACTTAAGCTTTTTAGCATTTGCTTTTTACCTTTTAGTTTGTTTGATGTTTTTTTCCTTTTCGGATCGCTGTATGTTTCACCGGTTAGTGGCCCTTATGATCTTGTATGTCTTGACGGGCCGTTAAGAATTTAACAATAATATTAAAGACTATGACTTACCATTTTAATTTTTTGTTACATTATAACCATTTAAGATTTTTAGCATTTTTCTTTTATCTATTAGTTTGTTTGATGTGTTTCACCGGTTGATGGCCCTAATGACCTTTTATGTATTGACGGGCCGTTAAGATAGTAATTATAATAGTATTCCTCTTTTTCAGTTAATGCTCTTTACATGCCGCAATGAAATTGCCAAAACCCCTACCGTGGGTTATTAGTAGTGCTTCGCGATGATGCCTTGTGTTGGTATGAAATAATGTTTAGTCATGTATCGGGATCTTATATCCTTATCTAGCATTTTTTTCATTAAATCTAAAGAACGTGATATGTTTCATTCCATATAACACATACATTATTATTACCTAAAATAATAATGCTGGAATTATTTTCAGTCAATGTCGTAGCCCGAATGTCGTGATGGAAGTACGTAAACGGGCATCTCCTCATCCTCTTAATAATTAAATTTACGTGTCGACTTTGTATTAGACAGTTCTACATCAGTTAAAAATAATAGAATCTTTAACCGCCTTGAAGGTCAGATAGGTGGATCTCAACTTGAGGGAAAGACGTGTAAGTTAGCAAACACTAGGCTTGCCGTGTGTTTGTAACAAACCTCATTTCCTTATGGTTGTGATCACTGAACCCCTCCGATAAGGGAATAAGTGATTATTTTTCTCTTACTCTGGTGGCTTTATTTGGTACTCGTATGTGTTTTCGTTGTCCAAATGATTCGCATCGTTGATGTAATTTGATTGTTGACGTGACGTCATTGGGTCATTACTTTGACGTCATATCATTGTCCTGACAGGGGAATCCCCTGTCAGAACCCTAAGGTGAGGCATGGAAATCTCACACCGGTAAAAAGGGTGGATTTACTTATCTGGGGTAAAAGAATTACTTGTCCACGGTAAGAGAATTGGTGATCTTGGTCAATATTAAAATATCAAGGAGTGATCGTGTCAACCATTTTCTGATGTCTGGGTTAACTTATATATTTTTACTTGATGTAATCTAACAATGCGCTGCTATCCCTATCTGTTCCGCTGATGTTAAACACGCACTTATTGATCGAATAGGGCAGAATCTTATAACATAAATTGATTTCATAGTCTCTCGTGTGATAAACATCCACTATCCTAATCACTTGAGCATGAGGTTAAAAATCTCAATTGCCTTTTGTGTAATTCCTACTCATTTGTATATGCCATCATGATCTGTGAGAGATAATTTGAAGGTTGTTTTTTAAATAGTCTAGATTTTCGCAATGATATAAGATATCTATATGATATGAACTGTTTCATAAGTAAAAGTTTTTCATTAATTTATTTATTCCTTCAAAACAGGGAAACAGTCTCAAAAAGAATAACGTTAAATCTATTCTATTCAGTAAGATATTGGATCATATCGAATGGGCATAGATGATTTATTTCTATGAGTACAAACTATAGTTCTCGGTAAGGTGAACAGTAGTTAAATATTTGATTGTTATATAGGAGAGTGTTGTATGATTCAAGCAGTTACTCTGGTCATATAGTTTTTACGAAAATAGGAAATTACTAATATTTTTTTTTCAAATCATAATTTCAACTCAAAATCGATGCGACATGGACAAAATATGAACAATAACATGAGGACCCTTGAAAAAAGTAAACACGACTAGTACTATATTTTTGCAATGGTAAGCATCATTTGCTTTTTAAGTCAGTTAAATAAAGTAAATTTGCGTTATCGTATTAAGAAAAAAATAACTAACGACGAAGCTACCAGGCATAATAAACTGGAAGGAGCAGGACGACACAAATGAGAACAATTATCAATCTAGTTATATTGAATATTTTTGATGTGGAATGGAATATTTAGGACATCTTCGTGTCTACTATTAAAGAAAAACACTTGGTGGAAATCGAATGGCGGTATTCGCTGCACCTACTGATAATATATTAATAAGTTTTTTTTTTTTTTTTTTTTTTTTTTGTTTCAACATTTTTTAACACAAACAATTAGGTCGATATCTTGGAATATGTAAAAATGCCCATACGAAATTTCAAACCTCTGAAAAATATTTACTTTCAGTTCGGTGTTTTCCTCGAGCATGCAAACGTCTTCACAAATCGCTTCAGAATTATTGCGATATTTCTTCAGATAAAACTTCTTCTTATACAATATTAACCTACTATACCTCTCTTCGACGCCGCCACCCCCTCCTCTCCTTCTTGTCTTACTCCCCCACTTCCACTTCTTTTCCCTACACCTGGTGCTCTTCTCCTTCTCAAAATATCTTTGCTCTTCCCTGCTCCTGCCTTTCTTTCCTGTTCTTGCTCTTCCTAATCTCATCTCCACTGTCTCTGCCCCTCCATCCTCCTCTTCCTCTATTGCTCCACTCTACAAGCTCTTGTTCGTCTCTTTCTCTCTCTTTTCCTGTTCTTCCTTCTCTTTCTCCACTCTACCTGCTCCTCTTTCTTTCTTTCTCAACTGTTCTTTTTCCCTTCTTATTATAAATGTTTCTATTTTAAAGGTGTCCCGACTGTGTCAATTGGACAAAATGTGTACACGGCAACAACAGGTGGTGCTGTTACCCTTATATGTACTGTTACCGCAGACCCCGCGCATGAAAGCGTTCTATGGCAGAAACTTGAAAACGGTGCATATCAGGATGTTTCGATCAACACCAACAGCAGATACAGCGGAGGAACCACGTCATCACCATCATTGGCCATCACCAACTCTCAACCGGCCGACAGTGGAACTTACAGATGTACAGCTACCAATCAAGTAGGGACCGGCACTAGCGGCACGACTCAACTGACAATCAGCGGAAGTAAGAAGTATTTTCTACAGAATGAAAATACATGTATAGGAATATTACGATATTTCATTAGAAATAGCTCCTTCATGTACATGATTATCCTACTATACTTCTATTTGCCTTCGCCACTTCATCTTTTCATTCCTCTCTTACTCTCCATTCTCTATTTCTCCCCTGCTTTTACTCTTCCTTCCTATTCTTTTTCTCCAAAGTTCCTGATCCTCTTTTCCACTCTCTTTCTCTACTATTCCTGGTCCTCCTTATTCTCTTTCTCCACTGTTTCTGTTCGTCTTACCTCCTCTCTTTCTCCACTGTCCCTGTTCTTTTTCCCTTTTCTCTTATATTCACTGTTACCGTTCCTCTTTCCTTCTCTCTGTTATTCACTGTTCCTGTTCCTCTTTCCTCCTCTCTTTCTCCACTGTTCCTGTTCCTCTTTCCTCCTCTCTTTCTCCATTGTTCCTGTTCCTCTTTCCTTCTCTCTGTTATTCACTGTTCCTGTTCCTCTTCTCTTTCTCCATTGTTCCTCTTCCTTTTTCCTTCTCTCTGTTATCACTGTTACCGTTCCTCTTTCCTTCTCTCTGTTATTCACTGTTCCTGTTCTTCTTTCCTCCTCTCTTTCTCCACTGTTCCTGCTCCTCTTTCATCTCCTCTTTCTCAAACGTTCCTGTTCCTCTTTCCTATTCTCTTTCTCCACTGTTCCTGTTCCTGTTTCCTTCTCTCTGTTATTCACTGTTTCTGTTCCTCTTTCCTCCTCTCTTTCTCCATTGTTCCTGTCCTCTTTCCTCCTCTCTTTTTCCACTGTTTCTGTTCCACTTTCCTACTCTCTTTTCCCACTGTTTCTGTTCCACTTTCCTCCTCTCTTTCTCCATTATTCCTGTCCTCTTTCCTCCTCTCTTTCTCCATTGTTCCTGTCCTCTTTCCTCCTCTCTTTCTCCACCGTTTCTGTTCCACTTTCCTCCTCTCTTTTTCCACTGTTTCTGTTCCACTTTTCTCCTCTTTTTCTCCATTGTTCCTGTCCTCATTCCGCCTCTCTTTCTCAACTGTTTCTGTTCCACTTTCCTCCTCTCTTTTTCCATTGTTTCTGTTCCACTTTCCTCCTCTCTTTCTCCATTGTTCCTGTCCACGTTCCTCCTCTCTTTCCCCACTGTTTCTGTTCCAATTTCCTACTCTCCTTTTCCACTGTTTCTGTTCCACTTTCCTCCTCTCTTTCTCCATTGTTCCTGTCCACGTTCCTCCTCTCTTTCTCCACTGTTTCTGTTCCACTTTCCTCCTCTCTTTCTCCACTGTTTCTGTTCCACTTTCCTCCTCTCTTTTTCCATTGTTCCTGTTCCTCTTTTTTCTCTTTCTCCATTGTTCCTGCTCCTCCTTACTCTTCTCTTTCTCAACTGTTCTTTGCTCTTCCTCTATTTCTTCCCTGCCTTTTTTTCCTGTTCTTGCTCCTCCTTCCTATACCCCTATTTGTCCCCTGCTTCTCCTTCCTAATCTCATCTCCACTGTCTCTGCCCCTCCATCCTCCTCTTCCTCTATTGCTCCACTCTACAAGCTCTTGTTCGTCTCTTTCTCTCTCTTTTCCTGTTCTTCCTTCTCTTTCTCCACTCTACCTGCTCCTCTTTCTTTCTTTCTCAACTGTTCTTTTTCCCTTCTTATTATAAATGTTTCTGTTTTAAAGGTGTCCCGACTGTGTCAATTGGACAAAATGTGTACACGGCAACAACAGGTGGTGCTGTTACCCTTATATGTACTGTTACCGCAGACCCCGCGCATGAAAGCGTTCTATGGCAGAAACTTGAAAACGGTGCCTATCAGGATGTTTCGATCAACACCAACAGCAGATACAGCGGAGGAACCACGTCATCACCATCATTGGCCATCACCAACTCTCAACCGGCCGACAGTGGAACTTACAGATGTACAGCTACCAATCAAGTAGGGACCGGCACTAGCGGCACGACTCAACTGACAATCAGCGGAAGTAAGAAGTATTTTCTACAGAATGAAAATACATGTATAGGAATATTACGATATTTCATTAGAAATAGCTCCTTCATGTACATGATTATCCTACTATACTTCTCTTTGCCTTCGCCACTTCAACTTTTCATTCCTCTCTTACTCTCCATTCTCTATTTCTCCCTTGCTTTTACTCCTCCTTCCTATTATTTTTCTCCAAAGTTCCTGATCCTCTTTTCCACTATCTTTCTCTACTATTCCTGGTCCTCCTTATTCTCTTTCTCCACTGTTTCTGTTCGTCTTACCTCCTCTCTTTCTCCACTGTCCCTGTTCTTCTTCCCTTTTCTCTTATATTCACTGTTCCTGTTCTTCTTTCCTCCTCTCTTTCTCCACTGTTCCTGTTCCTCTTTCCTTTTCTCTGTTATTCACTGTTCATGTTCCTCTTTCTTCCTCTCTTTCTCCATTGTTCCTGCTCCTCTTTCCTCCTCTCTTTCTCCACTGTTCCTGTTCTTCTTCCCTTTTCTCTTATATTCACTGTTCCTGTTCTTCTTTCCTCCTCTCTTTCTCCACTGTTCCTGCTCCTCTTTCCTTTTCTCTGTTATTCACTGTTCCTGTTCCTCTTTCCTTTTCTCTGTTATACACTGTTCCTGTTCCTCTTTCTTCCTCTCTTTCTCCGCTGTTCCAGTTCCTCTTCTCTTTCTCCATTGTTCCTCTTCCTCTTTCCTTCTCTCTGTTATCACTGTTACCGTTCCTCTTTCCTTTTCTCTGTTATTCACTTTTTCTGTTCTTCTTTCCTCCTCTCTTTCTCCACTGTTCCTGTTCCTCTTTCCTCCTCTCTTTCTCCACTGTTCCTGTTCCTCTTTCCTTCTCTCTGTTATTCACTGTTCCTGTTCCTCTTCTCTTTCTCCATTGTTCCTCTTCCTTTTTCCTTCTCTCTGCTATCACTGTTTCTGTTCCTCTTTCCTCCTCTCTTTCTCCATTATTCCTGTCCTCTTTCCTCCTCTCTTTCTCCATTATTCCTGTCCTCTTTCCTCCTCTCTTTCTCCATTATTCCTGTCCTCTTTCCTCCTCTGTTTCTCCACTGTTTCTGTTCCACTTTCCTACTCTCTTTTCCCACTGTTTCTGTTCCACTTTCCTCCTCTCTTTCTCCATTGTTCCTGTCCTCTTTCCTCCTCTCTTTCTCCACTGTTCCTGTTCCTCTTTCCTTCTCTCTGTTATTCACTGTTCCTCTTTCCTCCTCTCTTTCTCCACTGTTCCTGTTCCTCTTTCCTTCTCTCTGTTATTCACTGTTTCTGTTCCTCTTTCCTCCTCTCTTTCTCCATTGTTCCTGTCCTCTTTCCTCCTCTCTTTCTCCACTGTTTCTGTTCCACTTTCCTACTCTCTTTTCCCACTGTTTCTGTTCCACTTTCCTCCTCTCTTTCTCCATTGTTCCTGTCCTCTTTCCTCCTCTCTTTCTCCACTGTTCCTGTTCCTCTTTCCTTCTCTCTGTTATTCACTGTTCCTGTTCCTCTTTCCTCTTCTCTTTCTCAAATGTTCCTGTTCCTCTTTCCTCTTTTCTTTCTTAACTTTTCCTGTTCCTATTTCCTTCTCTCTGTTATTCACTGTTCCAGTTCCTCTTCTCTTTCTCCATTGTTCCTCTTCCTCTTTCCTTCTCTCTGTTATCACTGTTACCGTTCCTCTTTCCTTTTCTCTGTTATTCACTGTTCCTGTTCTTCTTTCCTCCTCTCTTTCTCCATTGTTCCTGTCCTCTTTCCTCCTCTCTTTCTCCACTGTTTCTGTTCCACTTTCCTACTCTCTTTTCCCACTGTTTCTGTTCCACTTTCCTCCTCTCTTTCTCCATTGTTCCTGTCCTCTTTCCTCCTCTCTTTCTCCACTGTTCCTGTTCCTCTTTCCTTCTCTCTGTTATTCACTGTTCCTGTTCCTCTTTCCTCTTCTCTTTCTCAAATGTTCCTGTTCCTCTTTCCTCTTTTCTTTCTTAACTTTTCCTGTTCCTATTTCCTTCTCTCTGTTATTCACTGTTCCAGTTCCTCTTCTCTTTCTCCATTGTTCCTCTTCCTCTTTCCTTCTCTCTGGTATCACTGTTACCGTTCCTCTTTCCTTTTCTCTGTTATTCACTGTTCCTGTTCCTCTTTCCTCTTCTCCTTCTCGAATGTTCCTGTTCGTTCCTCTTTTTTTGAAACTTGAAAACGGTGCATATCAGGATGTTTCGATCAACACCAACAGCAGATACAGCGGAGGAACCACGACATCACTATCATTGGCCATCACCAACTCTCAACCGGCCGACAGTGGAACTTACAGATGTACAGCTACCAATCAAGTAGGGACCGGCACTAGCGACACGACTCAACTGACAATCAGCGGAAGTAAGAAGTATTTTCTACAGAATGAAAATACATGTATAGGAATATTACGATATTTCATTAGAAATAGTTCCTTCATGTATATGACTTTCCCTACTATACATTCCTTTGTCGCCGTCACCTCATCTTTTCCTTCCTCTCTCACTCACCTACTTCCTCCACTCTCTCTCTCTCTCTCTCTCTCTCTCTCTCTCTCTCTTTCTGTGTGTGTCTCTGTCTCTCTTCTACACATGCTCCTCCTCTTCCTTCTGCTCTTTCTTTCCACATCCCATGTTCCCGCTTTGCTTGTCCCTGTTCCTCTCTCTTTTCCTGCTCCTCTTTCCTAATTTCTTTCTCCGCTGATTCTCTACTCCTCCCCCCCCCCCCACCACCACCCCCAACCCTCTTGATCCTCATTATAAATGTTTCTAATTTAAAGGTGCCCCGATTGAGTCAGTTGGACAAAATGTGTACACGGCAACAACAGGTGGTGCTGTTACCCTTATATGTACCGTTACCGCAGACCCCGCGCACGAAAACGTTCTATGGCAGAAACTTGTAAACGGTGTCTATCAGGATGTTTCGATCAAAACCAACAGCAGATACAGCAGAGGAACCACGGCATCACCATCCTTGGCCATTACCACCTCTCAACCGGCCGACAGTTGAACTTACAGATGCACAGCTACCAATCAAGTAGGGACCGGCACTAGCGACACGACTCAACTGACAATCAGATGTGTCCTCTACGAAATTTAAATACGTGTTCGAGCCTATCAGATTCTGATTACCGACGGAATAGGAAAGCATAAGACAGTCTAGCAGAAAGACAAATCTAAAAGTTAAAACAAATGAACGCAGCCCGTACAAATATAATCTGAACAAGAATTCGACGTTTGGCACTGAAGGAAACAGAAAGCTGTATCCATTATTGCATATAATCCGGCAACAAGACAACTATACTGAATATCACGCCACGCGTTGGTAAAAGTTATCAGAACCAATTTCACTTACTTGAAAAATGTTATGAAATTGACCCAAATTTCATCTCTCTTGGGCGGGAAGGGAGGAGCCCAATAGTGGAAATAAAGCAAATTCTTTAAAATCCTACTCCTCCTGTAAGAATGATCGGATTTTGATCAGATTTGGTCGAAACATTGTTGGGGAAGGGAAACAATTTGTTGTAAACTGTGGGTCTCACTCACCTGGGTCGGGCCAAATATTACAAATAAGGCAAATTCTTCAAAATCCTTCTTCACTAAAAATGATTTCGTCTGAAGTATGTAGGGTTTGGCTGACCCCGTTTAAGGACAGAGGGTTGGGGTCTAATAGGAAAATAAATATGTTTCGATCAGTTTAATGAAGCAATCTCAGCCAAGCAAGGCCAGGTGAGCGACACAGGCCTTATGGGCCTCATGTTAATATTTTAATTAAGTAAGGCATGCAGCTCTGCACGCACAAAATACGAAAACATGTGATTGAATTGTTTACAAAAAGTAGAACTTATGAAAATGCTAGCGATCAACATGCAGCACATCAAATTATCGGGAGTCATATTTTGCTTATTTTGAGAATGGATACAAATGCAAAACTAATAGATATCATTAAATAAAATAAAAAAAGCCGGTCATTCTTATTGCTTCAAATATATTGATTATGTCACGAAGATTTGTTTGGTATAACAGTATTACAGTATAAGTATAGGCTTGAAAGATATGACGAGATTCAGGTTTCTCATGATGATAAGCCTTCTATAGCACTCTTTTTCATACATCAACCGTTATACCACTGCAACAACACATATATTTTAAGGAGAAAAAAAAATGACAAAACAGTCTTTTTAGCTATGCCACTAAAAAGTGTATAAAAGGACACTGGAGTGGAAAGAGGAAATGTATTGGTACAAGTTTACCGCTCGCTTGATTGGCTCTAGAGAAAACCCCGAGTGCAGCTGTTTAGTTTAGTGACAAGATGAGGGCGACAATGAAACACCCGTTCAGTCTTCATTAGGGTGTAGTATCGTAACATAGATGACTTTTGATCATGCTTTATGTGTTACAGGTTTACCATTGGTAGATATTCCACAAGCAACCTACACCGTAGTCACCGGAGCTCAAATCATTATCCCTTGTTCTGTCACTGCCACTCCACCACATACTTCCATAACCTGGGAACTTACGTCCAATGGCCAAATGACTACACTTAACGTTGCAAATAGCGGTGGTAAATATTCTTTTGGTCCGTTAACCTCGCCATCATTAACAATCAACACAGCAGCAAGCAGTGACCAGGGGGTGTACACTTGTGTTGCGATGAACGCTGTTGGAATAGGCCGAGATACGACAACCTTGTCGGTCACTGGAAGTAAGTAAGACCTATTTGCTTCAATTTCCCTTAATATCAAGTGGACTTCTATATGTCATTACTATGTAAGAATGTGTTTTATATGTGTCGTGACTTTAAATTGAAATCAAAACCTAAGTTGAACTGTACGATAGTAATTATTACATCGGGATTTGGCACGAATTAACGACAAACGTTCCAATTTTTTAAATTACGTTTTTTTCATATATGTATTCTAGGGGCCGCAGATCTTTATTGTACATTCATTATCCTCAAGAAAAATGTTTTAACTTCCCAATGAGTGTCTGATGAAAAATGTTGACAGAGTATAAACCAAGTTTTGATCTAACTCATTCGGAAATATAGGTAGCAATTGCTAAGTAGACATTTCCCTGTCGGTTGAAACACGTTCTCGTCTCTAATATGTACCTCAAAAACTATGCCGAAATCGCAAAATCTACGCTTGTGCCGGTATACAGTACCCATGACCTTGCAAACACGACGTGTCCTTTGATGTTGGCATGTTTCGTACGTTATAGAATTTCCATATTTACATAAAGGCATACATTTTCTAATCTTTTACCGCCATGTTTTCTTTTTGTCGTAAAACACTGGCGTACGCCGTGCCCAGTCTGTGTCCAGATCCTAAAACCCAGTCTTTGAATTGTAACAAGAAATTTTTATCACAAGAACAAGAAATCAATTAAAATTTCAAATTTTCTTTAAAAATCTGTATCAATATTTTAAAAGTATAACACTTTGAATTCGATTTTACGTTTGAGTGTTGCGATAAATTTTCGTCTCCTCAAAAACGCATATCGTATATACAGAGCATACGTCCCTGATATAGATAATTAAGAGACTGTAATTAATTCATTCAGTGTAAGACTTTTTTCGGAAGTTCGTGCCAAATCCATTTAGAGAATTATATTACATGCAAAATATCTGATTTGTCCATTTCCAAACAAGTACCAAAAGTGAGTGTATACTTTGTGTCATTTTTACATAGTGTTCTCTATACTTACCTCACAATGTCCTCTGAGTTTAGTAGACTACCTCTATACTTACCTCACAATGTCCTCTGAGTTTAGTAGACTACATATTGAGAGGATGTACCACACACACACACACACACACACACACACAAATACACACGCACACACACACACGTACAAACACACACACACAAAAAAAAACACACACAAACACACACACACAAAAAACACACACATCCACACACACACACCCTCACACGCACACACACACACACACACATGACATTTGAGAGGGCACTCTAAATACTGACTTGTTATCCACTCCACAATAAAATCATGGTGAGTACTTAGATATTGACCTTTCGTGCAACTATCGGGTCGGGACCCCACAGAGACCACAGAATTAATGATAAAGAAATGTTTTCCCTTTCCATATTACCTCTGCGTGAATATACTATGTAAGATTAATACTGAAAAACCCAATACCCTCTACACATATGTTATTCCAGATACTCGTCTTCATCCCAACAACTACTTCTTCTTGGTGTGTAAGGTGTGTATCTTATACTGATCCGTACTCCCCACTCCCTCCCTTTCCCTCTTCTACTTCCCCCTCGAACAAATCGTGCCAGAGTATGCGTTCTATGTGAAATCCTTTTTTCTAGGTACTCCAACGGTAACAATTCCGCAGGCTGGTTATTCTGTGCAGACCGGATCATCCATCACTATTCCTTGTACCATCACAGCCACACCTTCTGTAACGATTGTGGGTTGGAAAAAGATTCAGGGAACTGTATCGTCTCCTCTTATTGTAAATGGTGCCGACTACACAGGTGGCAGTCTCACTAGTCCAGCTCTCACTATACCGACCGCCAGCAGAACAACCCATCAGGGCTTCTATGCTTGTACTGCTACCAACGCTGTCGGCACAGGAACAAGTAGAACAATTTTCCTCGCCGTTACAGGAGGTTCGTAATTTCCCACAAATGCTGAAATCTTTACGTTAACGAATGGTTAATAGGATAATCCAGCCTGACGTTATTAGAATAACAGCTTTGACATAATTCATGATTTTTTCCATATTGTTGTACGTATTAATAATAAGTACAAGCCAAGCAACCCTTTAGCAACTGTTGCCATAATAAATATTGAATGGGACATGCTAAACTCAATTATTTTAATACCTTTTCAATTACCATGTATACACTACAGCCAAATTTTTTAACTGTGTAAAACTGGTCTTAATACGAGGTGGTATTAGTTAAGTGGAATGTTGGTCGGGTTGCCCATTAGTTCAGGAGTCAATTATCCAGACAGAAGTAAAAAGGTAAGGGGAAATCTACTCGGCCACGCAGGTTCTTCTAGTGGACTCCGGTTTCTCACATCAATAAGACCCATCGGATAATTTGTTTTGTAATTGTCATAAAAGAACGCTTATGTTTTAAATATTGAATCCATTTTAAAATTGAGGTTATCTCAATAGAGTTGGTCTTGTTAGCGATGTAGTCTTAATTGCGAATTGGTCTTATTAGTGATGTGGTCTTATTGCAAAGAGGTCTAAATAGTGAGGTGGTTTTAATTGCGAGGTGGTCTTAATAGGGATATGGCCTTAATGTTAAGTGGTCTTATCAGTGTCGAGGTATTAAAAGTGAGGCGAGGTAGTATTAATTGCGAGGAAGGTGGTGTTAGTAAAGGAGCGGTCCTAAGAGGTCTTTATAGTATGATACAAAAATATACAGGTTTTTTGGGGCCGAAATGAAGTTAGATGGTTTTAACTTTGAGATGTTTTCTATGCGAGGTTTAACTGTAAGGTTTAATGTACAACATTGATAAAATATGCAGCAAATTATTTGATATGTACAATTATCTAATTGTTAAGATTTTGAACTTTTTGTTTTGACCCTCGGCATTTTTAAAGAGTCTTTCTAGAACGAAACAGCTGTAGAATACTGTGGTGTCTGATATTCTTTTGGCACACACTGAAATATTCAACAGTAGTTTCAAACCTTTAAAACTTGTTTTTGTCTTTTAAATAGGTCAAAATATCAATAACCTTCGTTAAACCAATCAAAATTTATTAACGACTATAACTTATGATTTTAGACGTACCTACCGTTACCGTACAGACAACACCTGCCACTGCCACAACCGGAACAGCTGTTACTCTACAATGCGTAGTAACCGCCGATCCTGTCGCGACTATTGTGCAATGGGAAAGGGTAGCTAGCAATGGCGCAGCTACCGTTATCAACGTAGCAGGGAACGCTAAGTATTCTGGTGCAACTCCCGCCAGTCCGTCCCTCAATATCGCAAATACAGCCTCAACCGATAACGGAGCCTATAGGTGCTCGGCGACCAACGCAATAGGCAAAGGAACAAGCGGTCAAGTGACTCTAACGGTCACCGGAAGTGAGTGACAAACGATTGTTGTTCAAGCTCTCTGAGAGGGCTTTGCTGTACCTTACCCATCCCCATTGTAAATTGTTACTACTTTTCTTTTTTTCTATAATCAAACATAATCACTTTGTCAGCTTACTATGCTAGACAGGAATTGAGTTATCTTTAACTCATTACACATCACCTTTGTTCTCGGGTCTTCACGTGGTTTCCACGTGGTATGGTGTTTTCAAACTGTTAGGTTATTTTAGCTATACAAAGGACCAGCATGGTTTCATTGCTTGTAACCTAATTCCAATGTTTTGCCGTGAATATTGGCATTTCGCCTTCTCTGATCAACGATCATTACTGTTTCTTCAACTTTGCCTTGTATTCAGACATTTTAACTTGGAATCTTAACACGGTTAAATATATGATATATTGCGACACTTTATGTTGTGTGAATCTATATTTTGACGTTATTCCGACATTTTTTATTCGGCTTTTGACTCTAAATTTTACATTATATGGATTTTAGATTTACACGATGTTCGTACACTCTATATATAATGTATATTACAGCTTTGCCGACACTCCATTTTATGTATGTATATAAATCTTGTACTAGAATCTCCCGGTATTTTATTAAATTTCCTCGAATCATGTTCTTATTGTCCATATTTCTATTTTCCATGCATAGAAATATTCATGTTATGTATATGACTTTTTATTTTCGCTAGGTCTCCCTGTGGTAACTGTCGCCTCAACATCTTATTCGGTGGTTACTGGCAATTCCGTGACGCTCCAGTGTTCTGCTACTGGAACACCAGCCGTGACCACTGTGTCCTGGGAGAGGAATGCTAATGGACAAACAACCCAACTGGCTCTTAGCAGTGGTCAGTTTACAATCAGCAATCCGTCCCTCGTTATCAGCGCGGCCGCAATTGGAGATGCTGGGACGTACATATGTAAAGCTGCTAATGCTGTCGGCTCAGCGCAGAGTCCACAAGTGAATCTCGTTGTTACAGGAGGTAAATGTCATGCTTTGTGCAAGGAATACCAGAGAAACATTAAAAACAAAAACCCATCAAATACACAAAATCTACCAATAACGTTTGCACGGAATAACTTTCAGATTAATCTCTTAGTATGACCTTCCCATAAAATGACATAAGAACTGCGTAGAATACAAACCATCATACAGATGAACGGAATTACGAGCAATATAAATAAGACCTTTAGAACTGCGCTCTCAGAAAACTACACAAACACTTCAGATGAAACTTGCAACAAGAATCAGCATTTTAGAGTTACGTATTTATTACTCTAACTCTGCAAATATCACACTTCATATTCTGGCTTTACTGAGGAGTCTTAGAAGGACGAAACAATTGTATGAGACAGTTCATTGCTTTGCTTTACGCCTTCTAGTTCAAAATTGTATTAAAGGGTCCCATTCACTTGTCAGTCCACAGTACAATTCTTTCAATCCAGAGAACTGCATACGTTGTGTTGAAAAACGCATAATTATGATCATTCAATATATTATATACTTTTAATAACATGCAGTGTGTTAACTGGCATAGTGATTCAGATATTGTGACGTTTGACATATCTTACAGCACAACCGACTGTTACGATTGGAGCTAACAATTATCAAGGTGTGACAGGAAGTTCGGTTACCCTTCAGTGTACCGTGACCGCCACACCGTCGGCTACACTTGTACGATGGACCAAAACTACGACATCGGGAACAAACCAAATTACAGTAGATGGCACCAAATATAGCGGTTCAAGTGTAGCCTCGCCTTCACTCGTAATCAACTCCCTAACGTCTGCCGATCAAGGGACTTATATATGTCAAGCCACAAACTTCGTTGGCACCGGTACTAGTACCTCAACAATGTTGTCTATAACCGGATGTAAGTTTTTTTCACTCAATATATACAGGATGTGTTCGATTTCCAGATTTTTTTAACATTCTTCAACAATTTCCTTAATTCTTTACTTGTTAAATTATTTTACGAACCTGCATAATCCACTAAAACACATTACAAGTAGTGTCCCTCCAAACCAACGTTGATTTTGTATTCATAAAACAATGTGAAAAACGATGTCATTCGATCAATGAGTGTTTGACGTACGGTGGCTGATGTGTGCATTTCCTGTCCTTTCGCTCCCAAAAAGGTAAAAAATAAATCATAGTTCTCGTTTTTTTTTTCTTATTATTTGTTTTCTTCTCGGAGTGAAAAGACGAAAAAGTGAAATCGCACAAATCAACCACTGATTTGAAGAGACGATAAGGATGAGGTTTTGTTTTTTTTTGTTTTGTGTTTTTGTTCTCCGCTATTTACCTTGAATTTTCATATCATCGCAAACGGATTAAAACTACGTCTTACTATGTAGCTCTTTGCTTGATAAATATACGCATGTAGTTTAATGGTGCATTTTTTATTTTAAAACCCGCGAAAAACAAGTGTTTTGAAAATGGCTTTAATCTACATGAATTCTTTTATCGTATTGTTGTTTTCAAAACTTCATCGCCATACGCGGTGCCCACAAATACTACTTTTGAAGTAGTTATTACGCATCAAGTATGTCACGTGACTGTCAAGTGAGATTACATTAACACTTGGCCGTTTAATACTGCTAGCGCATCCCATTAAGGTTACTTTTCGAAAATCAAAAGAGGTCTGTACAAACATGAGATATTTGCTGTACATTCTTTTGATTTATTTTTGTATATAGATATGTCCAGATTGAATGGTAAATTTTATAGTGTTGTTAATCTGCTAATTTCATATTGGCCGAGGTCTCGCATATTGGCCTTAGGCCGAAAGCCGAAGACCAGTATGACAGATCGAGCTCCAATTACTAGGCCAATATATATAAGCAGATTAATGACATTTTAACTTATTAACAACCTCACTGAATAAATTGTATTTGCTCTTTGCCATGGGTAAGAATTCTAAGCATACTCACGCAAGTTTTCATATTTCTGTCGTACATTCTCTAAATCCTGTCAATTTTTGTTTTGTCGTCTGCCGGAGAGACCAAGAGGTGAGGGTCGAATCGGTATTGTACGTATGTAATAACAGTAACCTGCAAGGCATTCCGAACGTTACGTGAGAGTGCGTTCGATTGGCGTCGTTTTCATACAAGGCCGCTCTAACAAATTTCAAAGGATAAGAATTTTGTTTCCAATAATTAAAGATTATATAGTACGCTGGGGCAATATATAGAGCAAATGTTCATCAAGGCCTCTTATGTGTTCCACAAGGCAATAATTATAGATACCCAGATATTGCTCAAATTCCTTTAATTAATCTTATATTGATTTCTTACAGAAACGTTGTCCTGTTATGCGAATCTAGTTGTATTTCATGAAATTTCAATTCATGTTGGGATGCGGTTTGATCATATTTAACATTATCCAACCAATTAATTTCAAGATATACTAACGTAAACGCGATTAAAAACACAAAAGACAATACTCGGACGGGCGATTAACTACTTCATTCAATCATAGCAGAATGTGTACTTTTAGCAATGTAAGGAATATCTTACGTTCGAACTGTGTTTGTTTGCAAAATATATGCTGCTTTGAACTTTAATTGTTTGGTTATGCAAATACCCTGGTAACGGAGTACATATTGTTCTTTTGTATTGCGATCATATATATCTACAGAAAATCGTCCGTGAGACTATATAGCCCATCAAACGTATTAAGATCGGTAGGTTTACACCAAAGCGGAATTAACATCTACTTTTTACGAATATCTCTGCCGGCTTCAGTAATTAAAAGTGCATATTTAATAAGTAAAGAAATAGTAGGATTTGCCCTTTTTTCATGCATGTATATAAAAGAAACGATTTATAAAGAAACGGAGATTAGTTTTATAAATTTTCGTTTGTCCGAATAATTTCATTGTATTTCTTCATTATAAACAAAATGCCTTGGCCAAGTTTCTTTCCCATACAAAAAGCCTGTATATGTATAATGATAAATAATGTGCGAACCGTTGGCTTTGGGTGTCAATTTACAGTGAGCATAAAACACGATCAAATAAAATATGTATGTGCGATTTGATTATTTTTATCTGTACCAAGCTAAAACATCATCCTTGTCGACGTTTTTATCAACTTAAAGTACGAATTATAATCAGATGTTGACACATTGTTGCCAGTACAATAATCATGTCATTATTTATTTATGTAACATGGACATTCTAGAGATTATTATACCAACATTTTGATATCGCACTCCTTCTCAGCCCGAGAGTCCCGATGTCAGCCAGAGGGCCGATGTGGAGTGATATCAAAATGGCCATATAATAGTCTTTTCATCATATATTTTTCTACGTATTGTTGGTTTCGAGAAAATGTTTTGAAGTTTACTGGACAATACGATTTGTCAGTGTTTCTAGAAGATTGTTGACAATGGTGACATGATGGGGTGAAAGGTTACCACACATCGTACTCTCCCGGAACCACCAATACTAGCTTTTCACAGACCGAAAAAACATCAAACACCTGTAAATACTAGGACAGCTTTAAGTATTGATGTAAAATGTATGATTTAAAAAAGCGAAGCTGACGAATTATCCCTTCTTCCATCAACACACCAATTTTTTAATTTCATTTACTGTTATTCTGGTCCTGTTTTTGGAGGTTAGGAATAAATCGGACCACTTCATTTTGAGATAGGAAGCTGCTGTTTCTGTATAGAAATTTTAGTCTTCGATTAATTTGCTGAATAACATTGGAAACAATTTCTTCTCCATATAAAATTGTTGTCTTTCATCAACCCAATACCGCCTTCAGTTTGGAGTCAAGAAAAGCCTCAACATTCATCATTTTTTATCGTTCTTGGTTGTTTCAGCTGTCCCCATTGTACAAGTCCCTCAACAATCCTACAATGTTATCAAAGGCGGTACTGTCATTTTACAATGTACGGTCTCCGGTCTGCCAGCGGCCACATCAGTGACTTGGAAACGTACTTCTGGCGGTACGGAAACTACTGTTTCTACAACTGCTGCCAAATATTCCGGATCGACAGTAGCCAATCCATCGCTCACCATCACTGGAGCTGATAGCGTCGACGCGGCAACATACGTGTGTACAGCGACTAACAGCGTCGGTGTAGGCAGGAGTACTCAGACTTCTTTGTCAGTTACCGGAGGTAACTCGCGTGGATTACATCATTATAACATATTTACATATTTGTATTTATGACATAACCGGCTTGTCATCCAGTAAATTCAGCAATATAAACTTTTTTTATACATACATAATGTATTTCATAGGTGTGATTAACCCTGGCTGCGCCGGTCAGTAATGAATTGTAATGTCGTAATATGAACAATGACATCACGTCATAAATTGAAAAGGCACAACAAAACGGATGTCGCTTTTTATTCTCAATTCCCATCACAATTCAACTTTAAAACCTGTCAAAATATAACTTTATTAACTTCTGTGTAAAAGCGGCTTCTCTATATTTTTATCATATTTTTAAACCAAACACAGTGTCATAGCTACGGAAGATGATCTTCTAATGGAGGGGCCGAGGGAAAATACTGTTGTTGTTTTATTTAAAACAAAATAAGTTACTTGTGTGTATAGTAATTAGGGCGGCGAACATATATTTATTCAAACGGGGTCAACATCTGCCTTTTACGGCATATCGGACTTTCAGCAAATGAGAAAAAAAATTAAGGTGAAGCAAGATTTTGAAGTAGAAATGATTATTTTTCAGGAAGATATATAAGCGTCCTTAATTTTATTTAATCATTTAACTTTATATTTGATTCATTTCTTGATTTCATTCCGTCCAGTAAAGTAGCGAAATATCGAATCGCTTAAAACTGATATAATAACGGTGAAATTGAAATTGCGTTGATTACTGAATTTATTTTCAGATATCCCGACCGTCACTGTTCCCGATCTTACATACTCCGTTATATCTGGTAAATCGGTCACTTTGAGGTGTATCGTGGCAGCAACGCCTCCAATCGACAGTGTACAGTGGAGGATGATCAAAGGCACCACTACTACGGATATCGACGTAAGCCAAGCTGCATATACAGGTGGTACCACCGGAAATCCTTCCCTTACAATCGTGACGGCGAAAGCCGCTGATTCAGCTCAATACATTTGCACAGCCAGAAATAGTGTGGGCACAGGTGAAAGCGGGCGAACTACATTGAGTGTGACTGGAGGTAAGAATTGGAAGTCATATCTAAGTACATTACATTACTGTAACCATTGCATAAAAGTTCCTTTACGATCGTCAATGAGTACATTTATAGTACAATGAATAATTCCTCTGTTCCTATGAGCCCTTTAATATGTTTAAAACCAAAACCATTTTTACGTGATTTTCTTTTTTTTCATAAAATTCTATTTTTCTTGAATGACTTTTAGTACTTCGAATATAGCTCCATTCGTAGCTTCCATGCATGCTTGCATGCTCAGTTAAGCGAAAAAATATCTGGCTGCGTTGCTTTTTATTCATTTCTTTTAAACATTTAACATACGATCGCATATTTCGGATACTTACCTCCCCGTCGAATTCAATTTTCCGCACGTTCACTGGTAGTCTAACAGTTTACATATATACTACAATTTTTGTCAATAATTTGATCATGTTTTTTATAATTTGTTCAATCAGCTGCTCCCACTGTGAGTATACCCGTGTCATCGTATACTGTCATCACTGGAAAGAGTGTCATACTTGTTTGTCAAGTAGCGGCAAACCCAACAGCCAGTAGTATCTCCTGGTCCAAGACTGTCGGTACCCAGACATCCATGTTAAATATAGACAACACTAAGTATACCGGAGGAACCATCCAAACTCCATCCCTTACCATCAATAATGCTGCCTCTAACGACGCTGCCACTTACGAATGTACCGCTACGAACGTGGTTGGATCTACCACCAGTAATCCAACTGTGCTTACTGTCACTGGAGGTTGGTTAATGTGCCAATTGAAATATGGCAACATATGGGTAACATTTTTATAAGACAGTGATAAGATGGTACGGATTATTTATATTATTTAACATTTTAGATATCTTTTAGCAAGATGAGTATGATTTGATATTAGTAGAAGCTTTTTAATTTGTTTCCGGTTATTTTCACAGCATATACAGGTGGTGAAATTCTATCAAAGTTGGAGCTTAAGTAAAATGATGGACTTTATTCGAAATAAACTCTTGTAAAAAAAATCATTTTAAACACAAGATCTGTCATTTTCCCAACACGAATGTTTTAGAGAAGTAATTAGATTAACACCCAATTATTAATTAAATCATATTTACACTGGAAGAAATATTGTTTAAAATCAAATTCACTAGGTCGATTTGTGTTGAGGGGGTATTACTTGTCATTCCGAGTATATTAATGTTATAGAAAATGTTGTTTTTTTAAGCAGAAATATTATGTTTGCCTTCTCTAAGCAGCTCTTGTTCTGAACGAAGGATTCTTTATACAAATAGTTTTAAATAAGTATGCAATAGCATTGCAGTTGTTTAATGTTATGAATAATCTTCAAAAATGACCTTCAATTTACCTGTTTCCTTGAATACTTCAGGTAACCCCCCAGTTAAAAAATATATTTTGAAAATCCTGTTATAATTCAGTCAAACATTTATTTGATCATTCGGTAACCTTGCCATTTCTCGGATTTTAAGATGTATTTACCATTGTAAAAATTTTGTCTCGAAAAAAATCTTATTCTAAATTTCAGGTTTGCCTACTGCTACCATTACAAATCCGGATATCACTGCCGTTCTTGGTTCGTCTGTTACAATAAATTGTCAGGTTACAGCCACTCCTCAGGCTACTAAAATAGAATGGACCCGAGTAATCGGCGGAGTGACGTCACCTATCGTTGTCAGTGCCAAATTCGTGGGCTCTACAGTTGCCAACCCTTCCTTGACCATCAACTCCCTCGCAAATACTGACCAAGGAAACTATATATGTTCGGCTACAAACGAGGTTGGTGTTGGACGGAGTCCAGCAGCCAAATTAACTGTAACAGGAAGTAAGCAATTTTGAACTAACGATTTGCATTGCATCTAAATTGAATAATCAATGTCATGGTTATACATGTGAACGTTGAACCTATTGGTCTAAAAAAAAACAATGCGTTTTTGCAATTCTGTAGATAAGATTGGTAGAACTATTGCTTTTTCATTGTCGTGACTGATTATTTTTCAATAGTTTTTTTCATGGTTGACGACGGACAATATCTATGTTCGCTGACTGCAATAACTCTCTTTGTTGAATCTTGCGTTGTTGGTAATAACAAAACTGACTCCATGTCACCCTTAAGGAAGGTGGAAATCATTTTTCATATTGTAATTATAAGGGGAAGATTTTTTTATCGATGTTGATCTATGGTTTGTGCTGGATAATGACTTTATAATGACTAGCCTATGATTGAGACCAAAAGTTAAATGCTTCAGTGTCGGACCTTTATTTATGGCAAATTACCATTTTTTTTAAACTAATGGCGGATAGTTCCGGTTTCTTAATCCAATGTATTGTTTTGTAACGAATTTAATGATATATGCATAACAAGTCAATGGTTGGTTGGGTTGTATTTATTTGGTTGAAGGCGGGAAAAGATTGATGCTTGAGAAAATAAAAATGGTATTGATTCTTTTTTGCATAATGTCACTGAATAAAATTTCAGTAGCATATTATTTTTTTGGTGGAGATAGCCGAGTAAAGCAAACTTCAAAACAATTGCTTATTCCAGAGTTACTTTCCTGTACCCACCACTTACGGTCGCTTTTCTTTGCAACATTGATGAAATTTAAAATTCTAGATATGTCATCAGTTCTTATAGTGACAAAGAAACATGTTTAATCCTACCGTCAGTTCCGATACTACTATCGATATATGTTAATTTATAGATGTACTTCACATTGCGATACTAACATTGAAACGTTTTAAAATCCTACGTTAACATTTTTAAACTGTAGGTGTACCGACAGTTGTGATCAGCAAGGCTTCATACTCTGTCGTAACTGGACAAGACATCACCATTGATTGTGATTTCACGGCTTCGCCTGACGCAACTTCACTGAAATGGAGAAAGGTTGTCAATGCCCAAGGCACTGATATCGTTGTAGCTGGAAACGCCAAGTACAGTGGTGGCATACTTACAACCCCGTCGCTAACGATTAAAGCTGCTGCGGCTTCAGATCAGGCGTTCTATCAATGTGTTGTCGCCAACAGCGTAGGGGAAGGAGTTAGCAAAACTGCCTATCTCTTCGTTACTGGAGGTGATTCAGTTATCTTCCATTTTGTTCGGAGAGGGTGTCTTTTTTTTATTTGTTAGATTTTTCCCTTTCTTTTGCAAAATGACAAATGAGAATATGCTATACAACATAATATTTAATTATGTTTTTCATCGAAACGCCGGAATTTTATTTAACCATAATATTTAGTTTCTCTTCCTAAATGATATACTCCAACCGTGTTTTCCTGTTCCTTTCATATATTCTATTCTATTTAACAGATGCACCCACCGTGACAGTCACACAGACAACTTACAATGTCAACCTTGGTGAAGGCTTTACGATTAATTGTAACGTTGCTGGCGTTCCAACTGCGACATCCGTATCATGGACTATCACCAAACCTCCTTCAACTGCGGCCAATCCACTCACTATTACTTCCCCGAAATATACTGGTGGTACCGTAAACACACCCTCTTTGACCATTACTAATGCCGCCCAAACTGACCAAGGAGTCTACACTTGTAAAGCTACAAATATCATTGGCACAGGAGAAAGCGGAAAAGTTTTTGTAAACGTCGTGGGCTGTAAGTAATTATAATTATTCATTCTCAAAAGGAGAAAGTATTGATAAAATGAATATCCATATGCTTTAAGTCATATCCATAAGTTCAGATATGACAGGAAGCAGCGTAAAATTATTCTATTAATGAACAAATAATATGCATTCATAAAATACTCTTCAAGTGTGATTTTCGTCATCGTTTTGGTTCGTGCTAGGCATTTGGGTTTAGTAGTCAAAACCAATGTTTATTTCTTGGTGCACGTGTTGAAAGGCAACAGTCTATCAACCCTTTGAAGTGTTTTAAGGCATCAGTGAACGTTGTTATAAGTGTACTAGGGTACTGATATTTGGTTTGTGGATTCTTTTGGGTGTTAAATATTTCTTTCCGGAATCAATAACTATATTTTGGAAAAAAATATTTGATCTCAACGTGTTGGACGTGTACTTTTTTTTATGTCAGATCTAATATTAAGTTGTTAGTGCAAGAGATGAAAGACATCAGCAAACTCATTAGTGTAGTAGGGTACTGAGTTTTGATTTGTGGGTTTCTATGGGTGTAATTTTTAATTTCTTGGAGTTAATGATTTTTTAAAGAAACATTGTGGGCTTCGACTGTTTGTGTAAAATCTAATCTAATCTACCATCAAGTTTTTTGGTTCTAGTGTTAAAAGACCTCATTGGCTGTTCTAACATCAATATCATTTGTTGAGATTCCAGTTGATGAAACCATCCCTGAATGCGAGTTTAAAATTGAGTGATAAACAATGTGAGGCGAGCTTTGTGCCATTGGTCCTTTCCTTAATTTAACTGAATTTGAGTTTGGATTATCTTTCTGTTGATACGTTGTTGCTTTTTAGCTCACTTGATCCAAGAGACCTGAGCTTATGCAATGGTGTGACGTCCATCGTCCGCTCGTCAACGTTTTCTAGAAATTGCTACTAATCATGAACGGCTGAGCGGATTTTGATCACATTTGGTCAGAAGCATTCTTTAGAGAAGGGAAACATTTTTGTATAAATGGTATCTCTATGCCTCAAAGGACTGAGGGGCGGATCCCAAATAGGAAGTTCTTTAAAATCCTAAAATAATTGGATTTTTGCCCATATTTGGTCTGAAACATCTTTTAATAAAGGGAAATAAATTGTGTATTGGAACTCTGGAGCGAAGGGGGAGGGCAATAGAGGAAACAAAACAAATTCTTCATAAACTTACTCCTCATGAAGGAATATTGGATTTGGTCTGATGAATGTTTTGGTGAAGGGAAATCAGTTTTTTATAGATTGTGCGTCGCGACACCTGGGATGTAAGTATAGGTCCCAGGGTCTGTCCCCGCCACAAGGTAGTACGTTTCCTTGTTATATCTTCGAAGCAGTTGAGAACCATAACCATATATATCAATGATGGGTATCAAGAGGAAAACACAATCATTATGTACGAATTAATAAGGAGGTGTGGTTCCACAACTGGGGACATAATTTCTTTGAAACGGTTAAGATTCCCACCCCATAACCAGAATCGCTCTACGCCAAGAGATAAACAAAGTCATGATGTAAGAATTGCGCGTGGGTGTGACACGCCTCTAGGGATTGAACAAAAGACGGCACATAAGTGAAGAGCACCTTTTCGTGAATAAGAGTGAGATTACAGTAGAGTTCAACAATGAATTAAACTGCATAATACAGCTGTCAGTGATGTTAAAGACCTAAAGTTTGAAGCCTAGGAGACAACTAAGGAAAATCCAAAGCGATCAAAAGAAAAGTCAATGTCTGAACGGGGAGGAGAAGCAGCCCCATAATTAGATTAATTTCGTAATTTTCATTCATCCAGATAATTTTAGAATAACTTCAAGCCCATATGTATTTTCTGAAACGTGCCACTATTTGAGAGAATTAAAACGTGGCAAACAGGTAACTTAAAGTCTACCAGCAGTATATACCACCTGCTATCATAAAGATTTACAAAAGACACACAAGTGAATAGCATTCTTTCGTAATTTAGTGAGAAATACAGTGGAGCCAAACGATGAATTAAACTGCTTCATACAGATGTTTCGTCCTTCTAGGACTTTTTTTAAAAGTTGAGATCCCAGCCCGATAACTATATAAACTCTTACGGGGCATCAAAAGAGGAGGGCAGTCATGATAGAAGAATGTACTCATTGGCCTTGCCCTACAAAAGAGGTTGTGTGGCCGAGTTTGAAAATATTTGCAATACCCAACCTATAAGCCTGTATACCGTTGCTAAGCTTTAAGATCCAGGTGAGCGACAGGGACCTCTTGTTCCGTTTTTGTTTCATTACATATGGACACTAATCAACATAAGACTGCAAACAAGTAATATGGACACGTTTTAAGTTTTAAATCTCCAGTAAATACTTTTTTAAATGAGGCGATACCATATATATACATATATATGTGTGTGTGTGTGTGTGTGTGTGTGTGTGTGTGTGTGTGTGTGTGTGTTTAAATTTTCAATAATATCATATAATGTGACTAGTTAATCTATTTCATTTATTAATCATAAATTTTATATACTCCTTCTAAAGCCGCCCCAGTTGTCAGCGTACCGGTGACCGCATACCAAGTAGACGTTGGCGGCAGCGTTGTCCTGTTGTGTACTGTGGTGGCGAATCCACCTGCGACGCAAGTCTACTGGACGAGGTCAGTGAGTGGTGCTGTGAACACTATCACTGCGGCTCCGCCAAAATACTCTGGATCTGTCTCGACGAACCCATCATTGACGATCAATCAGTTGACTAGCGCAGATGAAGGAAGTTATAGGTGTCATGCTACAAATACTGTGAATACCGGTCAGAGCGGGCTCACTACCTTGGTTGTTTCTGGTAAGTTACAGTTCGTATTCAAAGTTCTTTGGCCCATAGACATTTTTATACATGTTCATATGAAGAGGGAGGTATTCTATGTGGGGAATAGGAATATTAAGCGTAACGAGTGAGAAGTCAACACGAATTAAGATTATCTGTATCACATTACTTGTAAAGATATGTGTTTAAATAGAAATTCTTGATCCATTTAAGTTATCCCCTGCCTGCAAAATATGTTCTTAGAAGAATTGCAACTGTCTGTGTTTTCGTCCGATAAGACCTTCCGGGCGCAATTTAAAACCGTTCAATCGATCTCTACTAACCTTTATGCACTAGTGTCTTTATTGTACTTGTTGCTTTATCAACAAGTTTTGTTATTATTACTCGAAACCTATTTGACTGGTCCTCCAAAATATGTACATAAACAAGGCTAATGACCATGTTAGGGACCTACTTCGAGATGCGTTACCCTCTAGTCATCAGCTGTCCGTCCGTTTTGTTTTTGTTTTTTTTTTTTTTTTCTATACATTATCTCAAATTCTGTTTGGCCAATAGCACTCGTACTTAATGCCAAGTCTCCTTGAAGGAAGTGCTTGTTGGGGGTATGTAGTTTTTTTATCTCCCAAGGTTTAGAGTCAAGGTCACTGTTGCCAGAAATAGTAAATCAGTTTCCATGTGAAAAATTGCTTTGGCCAAACAAACCCAAACTTCATATGGTATTTTCTTACTGAAAACGTTTGCCTGGGATTGCTTTACAGATTTGAAATTCGAAGGTCAAGGTAACTTGCTATATACAGAAAAATCAGTTTCTTGGCTCGTTTACTTTAAACAAATGCCTAAATTAAATAGTTTTACTGAGCATGTGGTATATGATGTTCATGAAACGAGTGTGTAGCATGACAAACATACTAGATAAAACCTAATGATTACAAGCATTTTATATTTTTTATTATACCGCTCCCAACGAAGTTAGCAGGGATTATTCAAATGGGTTCCGTCCGTCATGATGCTGCTTTCCGCATATTGTTTGAAGGACTGGTATGATTTTGACGAAATTTAGCTGGTACACTTCTTTCCTTAATCCCTCGACAAGGGTCGATTAATGGCGAATTCCTCGTGTATTTGATGAGGCTGTTTGACCTAATTGGCTAATATCTTTTATCGCTCTAAATGAATACTGTTATCTTTTGAAGAAACAAATGAATTATGTTGAGACTTGCTTGGTAGACTTGTTACCTAAACCCCTTGTTCAAGTTTGAAAATCGGCAAATTCTACTATATTTAATGAGGCTGATATCTTTTCCAGTTTTCCATGTTGCTCACTTCAAATTTATATTTTTTACAAATGAACATGGGCAGGGGATCTTGATGACTATGTCCTTGTTTATCTAATTATTGTCTTTTTGTCAAACACTAATGACACGGTGTACTGAAATAATTTTACCCTTACCCAAGCGTCGTTATCCATACTAGAGGCGTTGTGCGAATTGCAGTTTTCATATGTGTTTGAAAAACAATCATCGTTGTCGCTAAAAATCATATTTCTGCTAAGTTGCCAAAATTTATCGCGCCAACTTCAGTATATTTCTCTCGTACTCGTACTGCAAGATTAATTTGCATTGACTTTACTTTCATCCTAGTCGCTCCAACTAACATCAGAGTCAATCCTCCATCCGTTACAAGAAGAGAGGGACAAAGCTTTTCAGCAACATGTACCGCGGAGGGGAACCCCACTCCAACTTACCAATGGGTGAAGAAATCAACTCAGCAGGTTGTGTCGAATGTAGGAACACTGGCCATCCAGAACATCGACCGGGGTCACCATGGCGAGTACATTTGTACTGCCACAAATCCCAGGGGATCAGCCACAGCGCCTTTCAATGTCGACGTTCAATGTAAGACATCACCAGATAAAGTGAAATGAATATGAAGTCATTAGAATATCTAAGTTATAATTGTTTAAAAATTTTCATAAATATATCCACTTTCAGGTACCGCATGAATATCTAGGCATTTTTATCATCGTCTGCTTTTAGTGAAATTGGCACAAAGATATGTTGCAATCTGAAAAGGAAGCAACTTCCTGGTAGGTTTTTTGTGATGTTCCCTGGGCAGAAAGATGCACATGATAATGGATGTTAACTTTCTAGTTATGAACTGGTTCATGGATTATGTGTCTGATAGGAAACAATACGTGTTAGTAGAAAGAGTTAATCTATCGTTTAATCTATAAATGCAGGGGTACCTTAAGGTTCGGTTCTTGGTCTCTTTTTGTTGGTCATAATAATATATTAATTATAAACTGAACATATGATAAACCTGCCAAACTGCTCGATCTTTTAAATGATCATTCTTGGGCTAATAAATGGTTCAATCTAGCAAAAGCAGAGACATTGCTTACCTCTAATATAGAACTGGATCATATGCATATAATAGAAATTAACTTGAATGTTATCGAGCACTGGCATTGAACACGTGGACTACCATAAGCATCAAAGAGTGCGACTAAGAATATATTAGTAAAAAAGGGGGTGAAGCAATATGTTGTCCTTCGTGAATCAAAAAAATATGTTTACTAGACGTGCATTAAAAGAATATATATATCCTTTATTGTCTCGCGTGTGATTGTGTGGCAAATCGAGACATGTGCGTTACATTTCTGCTTACGACTGAGGCAATGGCGGCGGAATTAATATCTGCGTTTACCATACATTTTTCAATCCAATAAGATTCCTATCATCACCAAATCTGCTTTATAGTTATGTATAAAGCAAGAGCATAGTAATTAATATTTCCATTGAAAATTTAAAAAAAAATTAAGTTAAAAGTTAATCATTTTCATATAAATTGTGCCATGCTAATTGTTTGCATTTTGCTCCTCATTAAGCTTATTTTTATGTAAGCCAAGTTTTCAAGCTATCATATGGAAGAAGTTGATATATTTATATATAGTATTTAAACACACGTGTCAGATTCAGAAGTTCACCTAACGTTTACTGATGAGTTATCTGTGTTAATTAATCGGGCGGTGTTGATGTTTTCCGTTTAGCTCGGTGTTAAGCACCATTTCTCCCGAATTTCTCCCAAATATTTTTTTATTCTCATTCTACAGCGAACGTGTACTGTTAATACGACTTTGTTAATTAATTTAGATATTTGTGACAGTTTTCTGCTTAGTTGGATGTTAAGATGAAGTATCTGTACTGTCCTAACTAAAGTTGAAATATATTTATATCTATGATTGATCATCCCAAAAGATATTTAAGATTGCCTTCGTTCGCATGTTGAGAATTTTTTTCAAAGAAAAGTGATCGGCTGTACAAATATATGGCTGTGAACCTTGCTGAAGTGTACAACGTCCAAATCAAAGACGAAAATGTGTATTTAAATGTAAATAAATTCCTGAGATTATAACTTCTCTTATTAAAGATATTTATATATATATATTTGCATTTGGATCAGTCAATTAGAATTCTACGTGAAATTGGGAATCGAAATACATTTTCCACCAGTAATACACGATTTAATTAAATGAAAAATTAGCATCAATGTGTGCCATGGTATCTTTCGTGATAGCTTAAATGCAATATGGATTACAAACTCATCGGAATCTTCAAGGAAATAAAACAACGAACAAGCAGATGCCTTAGATAAAGGGATGATAAGATAAATTTTCTTTACATGACATCCTTGAAAAGAAATATTAATTTTGCTCTCATTGTTTTTTGTAAAACTTCGAAAATTTGAACAGTAAAAATATCCTTAGCCATATGTCGTTGTACATTACCAAAATGTAAAAGGTAACTACGATGATGTGCCTCTTACAGATCAACCAATCAGCACAGTGACCACTGCTGAAAGGGATGTTATCCTTGGTTTGAATGACCCCAGAACTCTCACCTGTAACACAGTCGCTAATCCTTCTGTCGACACATACAGATGGACCAAGAACAATGCTAACATCCCAGGTGCTACCGCTCTTACGTACGTTGCGACTATAGCGGTTGCCACTGACTATGGTTCATACACCTGCTACGCTACCAACTCTATTGGGGAGTCGTCAGCCATCACCTTTAATCTCCGGTCAGGTGAGTTAGAATTGTTTGTTTCTTCTTCTTAAGACTTAAGTGCTAACTAAACATAATGTGTGAAAGCTGGAGGAACAAAATCGTTTGGGTTTTTAACACATTCATAAACATTTAATAATTTGTTAAATGTGTAGCTGCAGTCACGCCGGTAGCGCCCACTCCTACTACTCCGCCACTCTCGACTGAATCCATCATCGCTATAGCTGTTGCTGTCGCCGTGCTCCTTCTCATTCTCATCATCGTTTGCGTCTGCTGTTTAGCACGATGTAAGTTAAAACAATTATCCAGGACCTCACTGTACATAACATGTAATAACACTTTGCGAAAATACGTACAAGTAAAATTCCAAACATTTTAATAAGCAAAAATTTCGTAATATTGCATTCCTGATAAGAAGCATTGTTCGCTGTTTGCGATTGATCAATTATCAACTTTTTAAAAATTAATGTGTAAAACAATTAATAAAATAATTGTTTAAGTTAAGGCACCTACTTGTAATTTGGCATTGCAATAAATCACATAATGTGAAGTAATACAAATGTAAGAAAATTGGAAAAAAAATTGAAATTCTAAAAATTATAGACAATACAACATTGTTGGGGATTTTGAATATTCGGAATATAGTACTGTATATCGTATGTAAATATTCGATGTAGGTTACAAAAATATAGTAATTGATCATTTGTTTATTCTCAGAGGTAAGATAATCATAAGCTTAGATTATGCACTGATGTTAACTTACATTACTCAAAGAAACAGCTTTATTTATCAAAATGTATACAATACTTATCTGCAACTAAGTTCATTTTTTTCAATGTGATTTTCAATATTTTGTGCAGTCCGTTTAACACTTATGGATTTAAAGTCTTCTTGGTTCTTTAACCGCGATGGTTTTTTATTACTTAAACACGGCTTCTAATGACGTGACTTTGAGGAACTTTTGCAAAATGATGAATTATGTATCATAAAACTGTTGCATCGAATAGAAAAAAAAAATTCAAAGTGGTTAAAAGACATGTCAAAATCTAGATGTAAAGGTGCTCTAGCTCCGTAATTTAATATTTTTTTTGTCATTTTCGTATATCTGATAATTTCAAAAGAATGCAAATTACTTGTGTGTAAACTTAACCAATGAATTCAACGTGTTGAAATTGTACAGAAGAAACACAAGTGAATAGCACCTTTAAATAAATTAAGAATAAATTTTAAATAAGAAACAGCAGAACTAAAATGAATTGAAGTGCATCAAGCAGTTGTTTCGTAACTTCTAAAATTCATAATTGATGCTCAACATCTTATTGGTTTTTTTTTTTTTTTTTTCTGCTATTCATAGATGTTTTAATCACATTTACAATAATCAATTACTGTTTTTAAAATATAAAAACCATTGTCTAATTTTTTTTTTTTTTACGATAGTCATTATTTGAAATTAAAAATTTGATTTCATATTTATAGCTAAAGAACCAAAGAAGACGAGGGTTTACACAAGGAAGCCAACACCAGCTCCCATGCCAATGATGTCTCCAATCATGATGAGGTATTGCAATATACTCTAAGAATCTGAAAGAAGATCGTTATTTGTGTCCTGTAATCAATTTTTGCATTACTGGAGAATCATTGCACCACCCCATTTTTAGCTTTTTAAATGTTATCCGAGATGTCAACGTTTTTTCTGCTTTATACTAAAGTTCGATTTTTTTTATTTTACATAATAAAAATTGCAAATAAGACTTTCAATTATCCACGTGTTTGCATTCTTGCCGCATATCAAGGGTTTTGCGCCATGATACACATATAGTGATGTTGTAACATGATATTGTGAAGCAGGGTAAAATGAACTGGGGTCAAAATATGAAAATGGTGAGGTGAACCGCTCCGTGGTAAATTAAAGCCTCTTTATATTTTGTTTTCAAATAATGTTTCTTTTCATATTTTTTTATCAATTTATTTAATCATGTTCCTTTATTTATTTTACGACAATTGCGAAACCAGTTATGTCGACTTATACTAACCACTCTTGGTGGCCCGGATGTAAGCGCTCGAGGGGTCTTACTGTGGGAGGAAACCGGAGTACCCGGGGAAACCCACGTAGTCGGGCAGGTGACCCCTTAACTTCTCACGTCCGTTCCGGGAATCGAGCCCCGGTCGGCTAGGTGAAAGGCGAGTGCGTTACCACTGCGCCACCCGACCACCGATATCGTAATTCGGTATCAGTAGACATATATTTGTATATCGCGATATATCACAATTTCAGCGGGTTTTTTTTATCAAACTTTCAGGATTCTTAATAAATAAAAAAACTATAGCTAAAAAAGAACTGGCTCTGCACGCTTTCTTTTAACTAATAATCTTGCAAAAATGAAGTGTCTGTAAAAACTGGAAGAGTTTGTGGTACCTGGTATCAGTTGGTAACAAAATTGACGTGACGTTTTTCACATTTTTATCCTTACCAATTATGATAGTCCTTCTGAACAGAGACACAATCTATGTCTAAAGTATGAAGGTGATATATCGCGTCACAATTGTTTAAGTCGTAGTGCATCACATTACATCACAATGCGCTTCAGCCGAATAAGTAAGCGCTTCTAATTACGTGTTAAGTACATAAGAAACTCCGCTTGAAAAAGAGATTAGGTTTTGAGAACAGCAGATTTTATTTTAATGCTACCTCCTTATATAACAACTATGTAAAAAAAACTGTATCATGTAGAGGATCTAGAAGTATCTCCGAGTGAACGTCAACCGATCTTCATTTATTTAAGCATTGAATTGCTTCATGTTGAATTGAAAATTGGCATTAATGGGCAACGAATGCCAGCTGAAGGCATTTCAATTTACTCATTGATCGTTTTCAATTTTCATCTTAGGGAAAACAATCTCAAATCGCTTATATCACTTGTAATATTCTTACGCTGTCAGCAGGTCTTGCGCTGGATATACAAAACTGACTTTGGTAAAGTTACATCCTAGCAATGTCATACAATGGTAAACTTACCCTTAAAGATACTGGTGTTTTTTCGGTTTGGCAAGCTCATGATATATATCGTATGTTTTATTCCTCAAAAAGGACACGAGGCATAAATTATCTCCCTTTGAGTTGTCGTAAATATTATATAATATATTTGTGCATTTCAGCGAACCTTCGATGGCGGTTGTTCCAATGAACTCCTTCCGGTAAGCGCATTTCATATACGGTATAGAAAGTAACAAGTTACTAAAGTATATCGTTTATTGCCAAACGGGTCATTTTTTGTCATAATTTAAATCCCACATCTAATAAATCGAGAGAGGGAAATCCGTGAGCATTGTCTATTATAAGCATGTCTGACACGACAATTGATAGACTTGTGATACGCGATACACCGTCTCCCAAAGATGAACCTTGATCCCAAGTATGAAGTGTCCATGTTTAGAAATATAGAAGATATGGCCCTGAATACCTTTTCTCATGTAGGTTAAAGGTCAAATTTAGGTCATAGTGACCTACTTTTGATACACGACACCCTTACCCCTTCTGATCCCGTTACCGCTACCTAGAACGGTGGTGACTTAAAGTGTTAGCTAAACTTAAAAATGGTCACTCAGGGAGGTATTGCCAATCTAAAAAAATATGGCATTACCCAGTCGTTTAAAATATATGAAATTATATTGAATACTGTTAAATATATTGAATATGTACATCAAGTAAAATGAATCACTTACCTCGTTCTTTTCATGCACAGATCTCCATACGACCTACCTGGACAAGAATTCACTTACTATGAGAGCGAACGTGCCAAGGAGTGATCTTTATCTAGAGAGGGTAAATGAATGACAATCCAAATCAATCTACGGAAGTACGTCAACGTCAAAAGAGAACTGCAAAAACAAGAAGTCCTGAACATGTATCCTTCTCCTCTGGAAGTGAGCTAACTATTTCAGGCATATATGTATTCTTCAAAAGTATATGTGTAAACAATAAGTAGATGTAGAGGTCGATCAAGATTTGACTATTGTAACTTGATAATATGCTATATTTTTATATATGAATAACTTAGTACATAACAACCTAGATGTTAACTTGATTGGTTAGATGGATCCTGGTTATTGTAAACTCGTTTAAATTAGGGTGAATGTTAATTGACCAAAATGGACATACAACTAATACGCGACTGTCGAGAGCAGTTTCTAATAAAATATAACATTTCTGGTAAATAAACTTCGTAAATGCATAATATTTCACTTAACGAAATATTTCAAATACCAATTGCCTATAGTTTTTTTTCAGATCTCTTAGGCGTTTCATACTACCTGACGATGAACTGAATAACTTGATTGACTAGAAAAGTAATACATTTCCTGACTTGAAACTTTATTGTTAGAATGTAATTTAGAACGAGAGATGCAATAGATAGATAGAATAGATAGGAAAAGTAAAATGTAACCACTCATGTATATCATTATGAAATTTTCACTAAAACATCACGTTTGAATGGTCGTATTACACTTAAAAACTCATCTTGGACATTCAAACACTAATCCATTTACGCATTTCATTTCGAGCTGTCATATATATATATTGATATAAAAAATGTTTTAAACAGTATGGTTCCATTGTTATTCAGCATGGTTTGGCAAATTTTATTTTGTGTACATTTACTATGAAATCGTTGAGATTCGTGAGTATTTCGATTGCCTTGATTTCTTACACTTACTCTTGAATTCTCGATTTTAATAAAGGGAAAAAACACACAAAAGAAGTTTTAAACAAAAATGAAATTCGAGAACCACGACAGTTTATGATTCCACAGTTTCAATAAAGAGATAGCTGGTTTAACCAAAGGATGAACCAGGATTCAACAAAACAGAACGAAACCAAGAAATTTATATTAAATACTTATATTCCATAATTTATATAGGTGTATTGATAAACTTAACAAAATATATATAAGACAGCATTAGCTCATATTAAGTATGTATCATAGTAAGTCGCGTGATTTTTCGTGACTTATAAATACGTGATGCATATTTTGTATTTTTTATTATACTCATCTATCTCATCTATAAAAATAAAGATACTCATTTGATATATCGATATCGTGTTTTTTATAACTGGTCACGAAGCATGATCTGTATTATATAACACATTTTTCTGCGGAGTGTCTACCTGTTTCAGAATCATTAAGTAAATGCTGTCACGGTATAGGAAGGTTAGACTGAAGACTAAAAATATTTGTGTTGGTGAATATATTCATTACCGCCATTCTAGCATAATACAGAGTATCTCACTTATAATGAATTTAGAATATGTGTCTTTGAATAACTTTTTAAAGGATATGTGAGTGAACAAGATATTTAAAATAGATTTAGAGGCTAATATGTAAATACAATCTTTACTTTACAACAAGAACAATTGAACAGCGTATATCATTAACCGTCGGTAAAAATGGCAGGAATGAAAGTACACAGGGGAACTTATATTGTATGTTGGAGGGAAACCGAAGTTACTATTTTCGGAAACAGAACAGAATTTTTATTAGTGCGTGTAACTTTTCTTGTTGATGTGTCAAGAGAAAACTAGGTAAGAGCATCTCTGTATCAAGTGGATCACAGTCCAATGCGACTAAAGACCTCAAATTCGTCACAAAGTACTCAATACTTCATTGTTAATTCCCTGGTGGCGCGGTTCACCATCGTACCCATATATGGAGAGTTGGAACGATTGATCCTCAACTTGAAACGCATGTGCCTTGATCAACGACACTGCACTTGGTCGCTATGTCAGATCACAATGTCTTTAACGGTCCCCAAGGATCAATCAAGCCAGTAAGCGCGATAATAAAGCATGATGCGCTCTAACCCTCATTAACTTTAGTTGTGTCGCACTTCTCATGCCAATCGCTGACTTTCCTTAGTCATAACTTCACATGGGCCAAAACTCCAATGAAGTCAGTAGAGGAACAGGAGTTAATCTTTCTTCGAAAAAGTCTTCCATCTTCTGGTAAATGAATAGACATTTCAGTTTCCATAATATAACACAATGTCTTACCGTGGAAGAGACAGGCCACATGGCTCCACCTCGTCAGAATTCATTAGAACGTAACATGCATTTTGTGAAGTGTCTCCCTTGACCAAAGACTGCTCTTGAAAATGGTGTAGTACTGACCGACTCTTGACCAACCTGCATATTAACAAGAGCATATGTTCTCCAGAACGTAGTAGTCCTTTTTTATCTTAACACAATGAGACTGTAAAACTGTCCTTGGTAAAACTATCCAATCATCTAAGTGCACGAACCTCGCTTGAATAGAATTGCGGAACTTTCGCTATGACGAGATTCTCTGCCGCCTTCTTTGTCCCCTGTGGATTACTTTCCTTACAAATATGCCATATTGCATGTCCTAGAAACATGAATTGCATAGAAAGAAAAAAGCTTTTCACACGACGAAAAGCTGTGGCACACGGTAGAATCAGATTGATTTGATGTAATTTACAACGACTTATGACTTAACTTCCTCGTCCGTCACCGGATCATGTATATCATAGGTCTCCATTTGTTACAATTGTCTTCGCGCAAAATATTTCCTTTGCAGGCGGTAGCGTGGCAGAGGTGTAGTACTATACAAAGCACCAAGTCCAAGTCTATGAATACTACGTCCACTCTTTGTTGCCCTTGCCACGAGCGGTATCTGCTACCAGAAAGGCGTCTGTGGTCATTAACTTTTTCAGAAGCGTCCAAGTAGATTTATATCATAGAGTCCTCCAAAGAACTTCGTGACGCCATGGTAGAAAGTGGACTAGGGGCGTCACCAACATAGACGACTCGGTGTACATGTTCCGACGACTTCGTCTGGATTTATCACTGTATAACGTAACCAATAAATGACAACGGCTGGCGAAGGCCGGCTGTAAAAACATGAACTCTGATCTTGTACTCTATGACGATCAGGATCATTCTCCTTATATCAAAAGAAATGTACAAATCGTCTGTGATCTGGTGTTACCAGAAACTGGTAGGAAATCTGTTCGTTTTGACTTAACTCCGTCTCAATAAAGCATGTTGTCTCTGAATACTCTCCCAATGAAAAAGGAGCACGTGCTTTTGTTTCTTGCGAAAAGAAAAGTAGTGCACCGTTTTCTAACATTGTTGTACATAACTCAATTACACGTGTTAACCCTTAACAGCTAGTGTTGTTATACTTCAATGAAAATACCTGTATAATGCAGACTGTTTGAATATCCATGACCTGTGAAAACATCATCACGACAAAAATGATCTAAAACTCGATAATTCGCTTGTGTAAACAGTGAGCACGGTATCAGATCACGAGAAATGGGATTTCGTTATTACGTTTTCAAATAATGTTCGTAAGTGGTCGGATAAATATGAAATTTCTTCAAGGACATGAAATGTACGTGATCATTTCATAATTCAAACGGTAGTAATAAGCGAGATATCATCGAGTGCTGAGATTGGCTCAGGCCTCTTGACCCTACCGTGATGTTTGCCTTTTACCTTTGTCATATACGTTGCTGTTTCGACCAGATCTGCCTCTCGTGTCACTTAATTAAAACCTTCCAAAACACAAACCAAGAAAGCTTTAGTCATAATTTCATAGCTATGTCACCATTCGCATCATCTTGTTTCCATTTTATTGGTGTGTTTTCAATTTTAACATGGTTCATCTGACAACTTCATATGACTTAAAGCTTGACCAAATCACAAAAATTAGTAGTTTTGCAAACAACCCTTACTAAAAAGTTGTTTGTTATATTAATCCTATTTCATTATCGCCGGAATTGCAAGTGACATTTTGAAATGCCTAATTCTAGCATGATTCATGTTATGATAATATAATTATGTCTTGAAACTATATGTCTGTTGCTTTTGTTGCCTGATCTATGAAGAGGTACAATAACTAAAATAATATCACAGTGACACTAAATTGTATTTCAGAATCAGATGAAAGTGCATTTGAATGGCGGTACCTTTTAAATGGTTAAAGCTAACAGCAAACCCATCACGTCTGAAGTATAGCAAAACACCAACTATACTTCTTATAAGATTATGTCCAATCAACACGGTATTGTATAAGGACTTTCTTTCATAAACCGCTCACGAGTCAAAACATAAGTGAATCTGAATTGCCCTGCAGCTCCACTATTAAATACCTTGTCCATTAACTCAACCATGGGCTACCATTTCAAATTTCTGTTGTAAATTCTTGTACAAAAACTTAGTACGATGCCAAGTTTGAGCTCCATTGTTTAGAAGGATTTCTTTGGGTTCCTTGAATAACCGGTAATGGAGCCTTTCATTAACCTGTAGAATCCTTCGTTAATTCCAAGTTTGATACGCTGACGAACCTTAGCAGATAACGTGCATAACCTTAATGTCGTCAGATAACTTAAGCAAAGCATCGTCACATAATTCATCTGTTCCGAAACGGTGTAAATGTTGTCATACAAGTCAACATGTGAGTCTGGCTGATGCTTTGATATTAAACCTCATTAAAAATCCTCACAAATAAAAGATCTTGAGTGAGTTTTTTTTTTTTTTTAAGTAGCAGTCATATATAAAACAGAAACAGAAAAGATATAACTCTGAGTATATAACTTTAATTGTAACTGAATAAATAAATTTGTCAAAAGATGAAATAGACATATGGACAATTTCTCAAAAGGTGTTATGAGAATAGTAACATACAGTGTATGTTAGACACCTGCATACAAACATAATTCTAAAATGTTATCAATAAAAATAATAGTAACACGATGTAGCACTTAAATGAAGTAGCACCAGGCCC